CGCTAGTAGTAACAGGTGCCTTACTAGTAGTAACAAGAAGCTAGTAGCAACAAGTGCCACGCTAGTAGTAACAGGTGCCTTACTAGTAGTAACAAGAAGCTACTAGTAACAAGTGCCACGCTAGTAGTAACAGGTGCCTTACTAGTAGTAACAAAAAGCTAGTAGTAACAAGTGCCACGCTAGTAGTAACAGGTGCCTTACTAGTAGTAACAAGAAGCTAGTAGTAACAAGAAGCGTCTTTTGTCTGCAGCAAGAAAAACCACCCGCGCGCCGCACGTTGCTCACCACTCGCACGTACGCTCCTCACGGTCCAGGTTGGGCGGTCCAGGTGCTGGGATTTCGATTCGACTTCCTGCGAGGGCTTTCACACGCTTGGAGAGGAAGATCGCCTGAAGCTTTCGGATTTGTGTGGCGTGAACACGGCAGCCGGTGCCGGTTTGTCGTTTTCAGGCATCGCCTGGAGTTGATACTTGGAGAACTTGCTTCCTTGTACCAGAATAAGCTTTGGACCCACGATAAACATCCAAAAATATAGCCTTAGGCATTGGGCCTTCGCATGCCTCACCAAAAAGAAGTCAGCGAGCCTGTGAGTCACAAGGTTTTTGGCGAAAGCCCATTGTCTCAAAGGCAGTCATGTGTTTGAATACTTCAGGTGTAGCCCAGTGTAGCTATTGCCATCTTAGCTGGTGTTGTGCCACCAGACCATGCTCAGTACAAATGTTTGCATAAGTCAGGCATAGATAGTTACAGCATTCTAGAGACGATGTAAACATCAATGACATCTTACAGTGCTAAAGCTTTCTCTTCTCAGCTACACAGGCGCACGCGTACATTTTCGCTTCATCAAGTGTCTTTCGGTTTGGACGTACAGGTAGAGCTTTTCTGAATAATAATGTCTGTCTTCAGCAATGACAATATACTTGAGCTCAAACAAGGCTTCCACCCACAAAACAGGAATATGTTTGTATTGTACAAGTATATACTTAGGCCACTCCAAGTTCATCACACGCAAGAACCCTCGCAAGCATATATCAACCAATGCGTGAAGCGCAGCCAAAATTCCTCACAGATTTAGGTTTAGTTTCGTTGCACTCTCGGTCTTCATCTGCACATGGACTGCCCAAGTGATTGTGATTCAAGTATTGTCAATCAAAGAACTCGTGGTCGTGACGTGAGTTCTATTTTGAGACAACAACCTTGCAGTGCACTGGGTTCTATTTTGAGCCAAACGCACGTCGCCCGCGTCGCTCGCGTCGCCCGTCCATGCCTTGGGCAAGGACGGGCAGTGTGCCATTTCACGCGCGAGACTACGACTCAAGACCAAGCGCTGGAAGCAGCGCTGAGCATGAATTCACTGGATAAGGAGGTCTTTCAACCCACTCACAGGCTGATGTTAACCCCGACCTCGAGATCCCACTGAGTCTGGGCTTGCTGAACTCCACGCTTTGGGCTGCCACAGTGGAATTCGAAGACATGCTCATATTCAATCTGTACTTCCTCAGCTATGAGGATCTCTGAGTGACAAGTGCATCACAACCAGGCTTATAACATCTTATAACCAGCTCGTGTTGCCAAGCATCTGGAAAAGGATTACGCATACGCGAAGACCAAGGTAAATAATCATGAATAGCCTGCCATGGACTCACACAAACTTGGGCTGGAGGCAGCTTGAGTGCAATGATTGGGAACAATTTTGCTGCCACATCAGGATTCTTTGAGTTGTGTGAGCCCCAAACATGCAAGAGCAACAGCAATCCACGCAGGATTTCCAAAGCAGAGAATTTCTGCGTCTCTTCATACTCATCCTCATGGCGCCTCCAATATGATTCTGAATGAATAACTTCTCTGATATCAAACGTGAAGCACAGGACCAGGAAGTTGTTTGAGCTCTTGCTTATGGCAGCAAGCATGAGGCAAACATGTATTGCCATGCAGGAGTTCCAAAGTAGCTAATTGGCGAACCAAAAATCCATACTTTGCACTTCACTTGATGCATGCAAGCAACCCCTATGCCAATCAAGCCCATTTGCTGAGTAAAAATGAACACACGAGCACTCCCAACCGAACCCAAGAAATCCACCTGGATTTGCGCTGGTGCCTCCAGGATATCTGTCCTACTCAGTCACTTTTGCAAACAGAAGCCGTGCGTCGACCTCGAAACACCATGAAACACAGACTCATCAGCATCGAAACGTCAGAGCTCAGTCCTCGCTCCGTCTCAAGGCCCTTGCGTTGCCGCAAAGCGGACAAGGCCACCTCGGCCCGAAAATCCCGGGTACCAACAGAGGTTGAAAGACCATATAGGACACTGTAGTGGTACATATGGGATGGGCTATAGGGGCTGTTCAACCTCTCTTGGTAAGGCCACTTCCTTTGGAAAGTCTTTTCAGCTTGCTGGAGTCCCTATGACACTCCCTGAAACGGAGGCGAAAAAAGGGCCAGTATGGCACGTTGGAGGACCAGCTTCCTCTACAAACAGGTCGTTTTCCACCTCCATGTGAGTGACTTGGGGTGTGATGTCTTCAATGTTTCAAATTACAGATTGGCTTAGTGAGCCCTCGACCCCTTCCTCAGGAGCAGTTTCCACAGGCAAGCCCACCTGGCACGCAAGTGCCAGTGAATAGATCATTGGTGTCTCAAGTCCTCTTACCGGAGACCCCAACCACATCCTCAACGAAGGCAGGCAGAAAAAGCAGGAAAGCGGGGAGTGCAAAAAGCAAACACGCATGGACAGGACACATGGAGGAATACAGGCTTTGGTAGGTGAAGGCCCTGGTTCACGCCCAGCCAGGCTGAGCATAGCGCACAGGCTGTTGAGGGAGCCCGGTCAAAAAAGCTGGAGCTTGAGCAGAGCGCACGGATACAGCCCACACACAATGTCAAGAAGCAAAGCACCTTCATCACAGCCAGAGGCATGGCGCGCCAGACTCCCTCTACCTAAAAAGTCATGAGTCTAAGAGGCTTCAGGTGCCTCACTGCGTGCTTGGTCAACAAGCAACTGCCAAGTGTGTCACCACCACGCATCCCAGGCGCCTTTAGACTTAGACTAGAAGTAGCTAAAGTTTCTAAACACGGGGTGATGGTTGCACTTTGAAGCAACTTCCAGATCAGCATGTTGGTGAACGCTAAGTGTGGCCAAGCCTAAGCTAACCCTTTTGACAGAAGCCTTGACCAAGGGCACGACCAGCTTTGCTTCTGTACCAGCAAGCACGCATTCTTTAAGCAGTGAGTAAGCAACACCGTCCACACCACTTCATTGTGTGTTGCCATCTGTTTCTCTTACTATGACATCTACAGTATGACATAACGCACCATAACAATCATAACACCAGTTTGGGTTGCACATAGTTGCACCATCCTGCATTCACAGCGCGCGTCAGGTCCATGTCACGTCGGCTCCTCAGTCTTCCAGCACCACTTCTCCAGGTTTAGCTCTTCTCTTCGCCCAACCAACACACTGAGCCTGGGGGGCAAAGAGGGCGCCTGTTCAATGCTGGAAACGACACCTGCTCTGAAAAGAGGCCCTCATTTTGGCTCCGCACCCAAAGGTGCGAGTGTCAAACTTCCGAAGCTCTCGGGTCTTTGCCAAGGTCTGGGAGATCTCAAACACTTCGCAGTAAACCTTCGATCGTCAAACTTTGCAAATCGAAATGAAAGAACCCAAATTCATCCAAAGCATTCCCAATTCACCTTTTCGTGGTTCATAAAGCCTACTTGAAATCAGGGGCCGGTCCATGAGTTAAGTGTTCTACGCTTAGCACTGCTGTTGTCGTGCTTTAAGGCTGAAGCAAGAAGGATCCGTCAACAAAATGATGAAAAAGACAATGATGAATGGAGAAACTGGTAGTAAATTAATTTAAGCCATGCATGTTGTCTCGACGCTGAACCAATGACTTTCCCATGCATGAATGGTTTGACATGGTTTTAGAACACATTGCCACACTCTTCCTTCTTCGGCAATGTAAAGCACCTTCTTCGGCCACTTCTTCACAGCAGCGCGCCTCAGTCTAGTGACACGGAACTGAACACAATTTCACGCAAATACAAACCCTCCTTTAGCAGTGTCCTAGTTGTGGCACAAAATAGGTGCCAGTTTTCTTGCGAACAAAGCCTCGAGCACTCAGTTGCCAACAGTTGCCAACTTTGAGTCCCCTTTTGGTGTGGACAAGATTGTACAGGTCGATTTTCCTTCCTGATCCTCATGCTGCTGGTCGAACTATTTCCCATGCGCCCATTTGTCTCTTGCTTAGGGGATGGCCATAGCTGTTGTTTGCCTGAGGGCTTTGCTGCAAGCACCACAAGCGGCGATTGTCAAAGCTAAACCACCGTTCCTCCACGGTTTGCTGAAGTCGGAAGCATGTCTGGAAGCAAAGCAAACCAGAGGACTCCTCTACTTCTTGATGAATCAGAGCATGACTGGACTCACACCGACAAAAACCAAAAGTTGGAGTCCAGTCCAGTCTCCAAAGACTATTGCTGTTTTGCTTGGAGTTGCAGATGTTGAAGCCATCTCTGCCTAAGACTCAGTCCAACATCTCCATGCCTCCTGGCTGTACAATTCCATGCCATTCGCATCGACCCGAGCTGCGCCCGTTTCATCACGAAGCTTGCAGCGCCACCTGTGCCGGGTGCAGGGCAGGTGCGACCACGAAGGTTTCAGGCTTAAGTGAATCTGACTTTCTTTAACCTTAAGTTTCCCTTAAAATCTAGGAACCAAATCATTAGTGCGAGCGCTTCTTCAAGGAAGCTTCCCCCGCGGCCCTGGGGGAGTTTCCTTGAAGAAGGCCTTCGCTATCCTGCGTCCTGTTTGCTAGAAGCTTAAGTAAGCTACTAGCGACTCCCTAGCGACCTCCTAGCGGCCTACCCCGCCCAGGTTCCTCATCACGAAGTGACCACGGGCCGCACCTCGTCACTTCAATTCGTGGAAAAGGAGTGACCAGCAAAAGGGCATCCTCATCGAAGTTCACTTCTTTGTCCTCCATGGCAGCTGCAAGCCATGCAAAAGTCTGGAGTGGAGAAAGTTCTTGGGGCCTCAATCTTGTCCAGGGCCATCTGCAAGCTACGGCCATCTTGAAATTCGGACCTGAGCCAGCTGCCGGTTCAATTGAAACGATTTGGACAAGAAATGGGAATGCATTAATCATATTATATCAATTGTGCAAACCATTTTGACTTCAGGATCAGTGCTCTATCGGTGTGCTTAATGACCAAAGTCATTTATTGGATCACATGCTTGGGGCCTGGCCGTATTCTAGTCTGAGAGAAATGGATTTCAAGTGGAGACAAAGTGATGATCTTGAGACCTACCTGAGCAACAGTCCTACCGGCTGGATCAACAGGACAAACTCTTGGGGCACCATCTGCAAAGTCTGGAGGTGCTGCCTGCTCTGTCATGATCCATCTGCATCACCTGCAGATGGTCATTTTCAAACAGACAAAGCTGAAGCATTCTACGGAGTTTTTTGGCAACGGATAGCCTTCAATAGGAACAAGGGCTCATCAGCACCTTGTCAAAGAGGTATTTCTTGGAAAGAATTGAAGGACACATCCAATGATTTCTTCAGACATTTTGAAAGGAAGAAACAGCAAAGGAATGGGACAAGAATGGGAAAGGAGAAGGACTGGACAAGAAAACGACCAACAAGCGAAGCAGCGAAAGTTCTGGAGATACATAATGCTGGTGAAATTAGTGTAGATTACATTCAGGGTGAATATCCTGAATATCCCTGGCCTGGTAATTGCATATTCCCTGGTATTGGGCAACTTTTTGTGGGGAGATGAAATGGCTAAGTTTGATGGGCCCAATTGAGTCCAGACTTGTCAAATGTCAAAGGGGTCGGGCCGTCATGTTTTGCGGAGAAGAAACAAGACAACCGGCAATCGATTAATGATTGACGATACATATCTCCTGGGCACCACAAACGATCCGAAGGAAATCAACTCAGCAACAAATTGAAACTTCACCGGCCTCATTCTCTGCAAGCTGTATAACATATCGCCATGACCGCATGCTGAACATTCAACTTCACGGTGCATGCGGGTGACAGCATGCTGAGTCCTAGAGCGTCCTAGCTGAATCCTGTATTATATACTTGCAAGCAGAAGGGTTGTGAATGTCTAGTTGAAAAGCCATCTTACTTTGCTTATAGATTCTGTAGATTGAAAGACTGTGTGCCACGTCGGCAGCACCTGGCCGGTTATTTCTCCATGGTATGACTACATTCAAATCTGGGATTAAATGGCGACGACAAATGATTGTGATGGTGGGTGGCCATGGTTCGAGTTGCTGATAAAGGCCCAAAGGACATCTCTTCCTCCATGCTCTTTTCACTTCATCAACCGTCGTGGTCGCAGAATTAGATCATCTTCAGCTGCATTGCGGCAGCAAAGAGTCTTAAAATGTCTTGAACATTCTACTGAAGCACTTGCATGTCGCGCGTTTAAAGCTGCAACTTTACAGTGCTGGCAAGGCGACTAGTTTGCTTTCAAGAGGGCACTGGCCAAGGCAGAGGCCCCAAGTGAGCCTACGCAAAGGCCTCGCAATGTCCAAGGTAAGTCACGGCGGTTGTTTTCCGTTTGAAGAAGACAGCCAGCCAAATTCACCAGTTTCTGGAGCTGAGACAACTGCCAATGTTCACAGAGCAGGCCTGAATTGCATGCAAAGATTCATCTGAATCATGTACAAAGCGATTGTACAGGGTTTCAGCATGTGACAGCATGTGACCCTCTGACGTCCCAAGCTCCAACAGATTCATGTGAGAAATGGGTGGGGCGTCATTGAGAACAGTGGATAGCGGGTACATGACCGAGCCAAAGACTTGGGATAACACCAGCCCGATCCGAACGAAACATGCGGTCATGCCCCGAACAAAGAGACATGCGAGGCACTCGATTTGAGGCTTTCTGAAACAGACTCCTTAGCACGGTCTCTATGCCAGTCCTGTCTTTATCACAAACAACTGTCCAAAAACATCAGAAGCCTAGTGTGGACGAAGCCTAGTCTTTATCTCAAAGGGGACGCCACAGGGGCATAATCTATACACCCGAATCCGTGCAGCCACCATGAATCTTGCAGAACTTCCCCTCTGTAAAATTGCAGAACTTCCCCTCAAATGGAACTTTGCCCTCAAGATCGCACCCCCAGTCATTTGCCCTTGCTTTCTCCAGTTCAAAACAACTTGCCCAAGCAGGGGAAAGTGGATCTCCTCCCTCTCCTCCATCAAGAGCTTGGTGGCTAGCTGTCAAGGAAGCCCAAAAGTACAAGTATCTTGAATAAGGAAGCTTTCAGGTGGACGAACTCCCAAGTTTCTATGAAGCCTACATTCTCTATAAAATCAAGGGTGAGCTACTCCAGTTCCTTTATATGACACCACTACATTGCCACTGCAAAGGAGGCAGAGTTCAACTTACGAAAATAATAGCTACGAGGTGCCATGCAAAAGCTCCTAAAGAAAGATGATAACTTAGTATAAATTATATAAGTATATAGTTCATGTCTTCTATTTTAGGACCCCCCGGTTTTTGGGATATCTACAGGGAATATTTTAGAATAATGCTATGATGTGATGTGTACTGTTCAACTGGGTCCGCCAACGGAAATTCGTCCACACGTCTTCAGCTGCTCGGTGCTTAGGCTGGGGATTTCATTGATGACGATCAGGCTCAAGGACGCCTATGAGGCTGGCATTGCGCAGGCTGCAAGTTGTGAATCTTTAACACATCAAGGCGATGATTGATGACCGTTGGATACAGTAAATAATTTCAGTAATACAAACAAATCGTCATACAATATCACGATCTCCATTGCTAGCATGCGACCTGGGGATGAAAACACCTCCGACTGAGATACGGGCGCAGTATCCGTTCAGGAAACCAAACGCCGCAACGACGGCCATAGAGAGGAGGTCGCTACCTGTCTCCTTGGCGCACAACTGCCTGCATCTGCCAACTGTTCAATCCTTGATATAGAAACCTGGTTTGATATGTCCCAGGGCAAAACCGAATCAAACGCCGTAGGGTTTGGGACTGTGGGACCTTCCCGGACCGCAAGCTTAGGCCATGGCAACGGCGGCACAATAGATCATCAAAGGAAGTAGAATAGCTCGTATGACGGCAGTCCACTGCAAGCCGGGGATTCCGATCACAGTGCGTTCCATGCGACGATTTGAACAGTTCGAGTTCGTGTGCAAGGCGCATGGATGTCAAGTGTCAAATCATATCAGGATCAGAATACTTGAGAGAGGAGGGGGTGAACGAAAGGTAGCAGGCAATCACAAGTAACCCTGGTAGAAGTCCACGATGGCGTGAACCGGCGCAGGGGGGATTTGATCCAGGGGGGGGGGGGCCCCCCCCCCGACGAACAGAATCAACTCTTACAGGACCAAATTCAATGCACAATCCCAACTCCTGATTGTAATACATTTTTGCTAAAGCAAGGAGAACTCAGGTAGCTCAAGCTACCTTTCGTGATTACCTTTGCATCACAGCAGGCACCCTCGGCCTGGATGTTTCCATAGTAGAGGCCAAACCGAATATGCGTGATGAATCGGGCTGAAATGTCAAACAATGTAAACACCTCAGCTGGAGCTGTTGGTTCTGCAAAAATTTGAAGAATTGTTAGTTTTGGCTTGCTCAGCCATGGACTGTAAGGAGGATTGTCTGAAACCAGTGACCCCTTCGCAACCACTCCATCTGCCTGCCCACAGCTCATACAGCATGCAGCAACGCTCATGAAAACTCCTCAAGAGATGTTGTGCCATTGCACCTACAAGGAATTGCGGTGATGAGTCCGGGGTAGCAAAAAGACGTGAGCACGAAATTGGCAAAAATCACCTCAGATACAGGCTGCTCGACAATGAGACCTTTCAGCTTTCTATCCATGTTGAGCACATTTCTCAGGAAGTCCCACATGCCAAGCTGCTAATTGGTTAAACCACACCATTTTGAGCACGGCTCTGAAGCTCGTGCCAGCCTCTCGAGCTTTGCAAAAGCAAATAGGTCCATGAGTATCAATGTATGATACAAACACATTCCAAAAAGGCCCAAAGAAATGCACGTTAAACGTGTGTATCATTGGTGTTGCAAGTAAATGTAAGTAGCACTCCTTGCATCATGTATGTCTATCGAAAGTCCAATCAGGGGAAAACGAGACAAACATGTCCAATAAAAAAATTCACAATAATCCATTTACATTCATTTACAACATGCACACCTTATATATATAATAAGTCTCAATTAGTGGATCGATATGAGAGAAAAGTTGACCAATTGACTGCGCCGGGGGCAAACAAACCGTTGCGTCACCTTGATCTTTTGGTCAACAGATGACAACCTTCTCGCTTCTCGCACCTCGCAATTGAAGTCACTGGGCCCAAGTGCAGACTCCTCACAAGGTAGGCAAGCTCAAGCAAGTCTGCGAGACAATATCAAGGTTCTAGTTCATAGTGTGCTAAGTTTCTCATCCTACCAGTAGCGGTTTCGCCACGGTGGTCCGTCAAAATACTGCAGATATCATGAACCAAAGAGTTTCAGCTCTCGAAACTGCGCGCCTCAGAGTCTTTCGCCCCACAAGGGCTGAAGCCTGTCTTCTCTTCCGATGCACATTTTTTGTGGATTCTATGATTCTCATAACTCATAGTCATACTGTAGATCTCATGAAACAATGCCAAAACATGTTTCAGTTCTGCAAATTGGTAACACTGCCCTATGCTGCTGTTTGGGCGCACCACAAGCATATGGCAGTGGTGACTCCAAGCGGGAGGCTTTGTCCAACAGCTTCTCGTCAAGGTCCTTGAGGCCATCAAAGGTACCGAGTCGGTCGAGTTAGCAAGAACGCTCCTAGTAGTATGGTTTGGAGAGGTCTTCATGCAAACTGAAAATATGTATATAGTTATACAATTACATAAGATTGCAAACGTGCAACCTTCAGCTACACCAGAAGAACATCAAGTACCCTGACTGCATTAACTCCTCGGTTCTTGAGGTCTTGACCGTTCTGTCCGTCACGTGCCGTGAGACTGGAAGTGTCATGAGGAGCCTGGAAAGCCGTGGATCCAAGCGCACAAAGCAAAGAGCCGAGAGGATCAGCGAGGCCTGTATGCCAAAATGCACACAATGACTGTGACCAAAGCAATGCTGAAATAGGCACCTCGCGAAGGAGTCAACCCAGGGGATCACAGTAACTGATATTCCAACATGATCTCCATGTTTCTTGACAGGCTTGGGCCAGCCGCATGTAGCGTCCGCAATGTCATGGGACATAAGCAGCTTGGTCGCGTCGCGGTAAATGACCGAAACCAGGGTACCAAAGCCAATACCTGCTTCACAAAAAAAATCATAAATTTAATTTGCATGTATAGGCTGATTGAAAATCACACGATGCGAGCCATTCAGGAGCTCTGAACTTGTGAGCCATTCCACGCAAACCAGCTGTGTTTGAGACCAGCCTATCTGCAAGTACTGCTGCATGTTTGAGCTGTACCTCGGTGTGTTCGTGCCATGCGCCAGACCGCGAACAGCTCGGGTCCCTCTGAGTCAAGAAGCTGTGAGCACAGTGAAAGAAGCGCCGAGTCTAAGTAGCCAGTCGCCACCGAGCCTCCATCCACCAACAAAAGCAAATATCGATTTATCGGGTTTCTTCAATCACAAGAAAAATCAAGCTTAGCTTGCTGCACAGCAAAACAACTCCAAGCAGTAGATGATAAAGCCTGGTCAAACAAACTGCCTTCCACCAGACCATGCCGAAGCAACAAATGACACAAAACGAGTGAAGGGTCCGGCATCGCTGGTGCGACAGGAAGCCACCTGACTGGGTGAAACAAGGACAAGATCAATACCGGCTCCATCATCCAAGTTGAGGTCGTCCCCGGTTGCTTGACACCGCAACAAAAATATATCAATAAATGACACATCCATTATGTGCAAAACACGTATGCCATACATATAGATAAACAACTGAATAGGCGGCATTGTTTCCAATTTGGATAGCATAAACAAAAGACCTACTGCCGGCTTCTGATTCTTCTCGTTTCCATAGTCCACAAAAAGAAGCCACCAACGTTGAGGAATGGGGCGACTCCTGCGTCTGTCGCCTGAAAGCAAGGATGCCAGCAAGGCATAGAAATTGCCCCGAGAAGCCACCCAGGATGCGGCGCCCAAGCCTCAAACGGGTATCGGCCCAGAGAGGTTGGGGAGTTCTCGGCTCCCATTTCCAGTGGTCAAATGGACTTGTTTGGGCCAACCGGTGAGCTATGTCCACTCATATTGACCCCCCTAACAGCATGGGCTGTGGCTGTCCTGTTCTTGGCGCCAGGCACAAAGGAGTCTGTGAATGACAAAGCGGCAACAGTGATGATGGAGCCAACCTTGCAAGTACTAAAGACAGCGTTCTGCTGACCAGCTTTCTTAAAGAAAACGACTTGAAAGCTTTTAGCAGCAAGGGTATGCCAGGAGAGCCTGTTTGGTCCTCCTGTAATCTGATGAACAGTTGCAAAGGGTCGCCTGATACAGTGCAGTTACTGCAAACTCCACATTGGCGTCAGGGAAAAGGACCTGCACACTGCGGGCGAAAAGTAGAAACTGAAATCCGTGCAACAAGTTTCTTGCCTTGCCCTCGCGTTCCTCCCTCAAAATTATATAACATGTGAAAGGGTTTATGGTGAGGTCTCAACCCCGGCCTTCCAGTAGTCAAAGGCCGCCCAGATTGCTGCAATGGGAAAAAGGTAGCCGATGCCAATCACAAGCATGCACAGCTTCCTTAGCCCAAGCGGCCAAGCCATTACGTTACATGCGGCTGTGAGGTGGCACAAAGACACCGGGCGAGGGCTGGGGGGGATTGTCGGTGTCTTAGGGTCTTAGGGTATCTTGAATCACAACTCAGAATTCAACGCTGCGCTGTCACCATGCGCGTCCCGCAAAAAGGCTGCCATGGCTGCCCGGCAGCAGGTTGAAAGCAAGAACCACTAGAAGTGTGAAAGGGAGACTTCAGCAAACCTCCATATACTGCATATACTATGTATATACTGTAAACTGGTTCCTTTTTCCAGAAGTCAGAAAAGCTGATGTCGCGGCGTGATAGGCACTCAAACCAAGTCTACTTGCTCCTCGCAACACAAACCTCGGCGGCTTGGCAGCTTGCTACACACTCAGAGCCTCTTGATGCAGCAGGAGGGTTCACATGCAGCAGGTGGCCAGAAAAACAGCAAACTGTCAAACTGTGACAAACCATACTGCACCACTACTCAAGGTTCAAGTCTCCTGCACTATACCTATAGCAAACCGGAACCGGGCTTCTTCAAGGTGCATGAGGCACTGTGCCTTTTCGAGAGCTAGCTCGGTGGTATCATGCTCTGAATAGCTCGGCTTCGAGATCATCTAACCTGTCAAAGTCGAAAGCACATGCCAAAGCGGCAAGCGGGGCAACAGCGGCAAGCGAACTGCAGGGTTTGGTCGTGACAGCCCTTGCTCTGGGCTCCAAGCTCGTCCATAAACAAATCAAAGTCCTGAGCATTCAATCCATCCGATGGATTTCAACGGAAAACCTGCACAGTGCCGTCCTTTGGATATTGCACCATTTTAGACAGCCAAACCTGGTGTGCAATTTGTCAGAGCACCAAGGTCTCAAAAGCTTGAAACCTGAACCTCTCGGTTTGAGGGCACAAACTGAGCTGGCCACCAAAAGGATTCTCAGCTCATTGCTGAGCTGTTCAAGCGTTGGCGTGTCAATCAAGTTGACCTTGCAAATATGAGCGGACCGGGTAGAGTAGATGTCACAAGTGCTTGGCATGTTACGGTTCGCCCGCCCCATCGGCCATGAAACAAAGCAACGGTTCAAGGCCACCGAACGGTTTTGCATAAAGGTTGTGGTCTGCTTGACCTTGGCAATGTGGGCAAAGCCGTGCCCACACAGTTACTGTACATAAAACAAAGAGCAAACACATCAACAAATCAAACTTCAGGCTCTGGACTCAGCATTGTCATGCAAAACCTGGAAAACTGACCCACTGGCCAAAATGGCTTCTGCTCTTGGAACATCTTAGAACCCAAGTGTTTCATTTTTTATTCTCTCACTCACTCGAATCTCGAGCATGTTCTGTGGCAAGCTAGTTTCGCGGGCCACACAACACTAAGTGTTTCAAACATGTGTATCTTTTGTCAAAGTGCGGTGATGCAGTGCTGCAGCGATCTTCAAGAAAAACACACCACTGCCTCCTTGATTGCTTGCTGCTCTGTGCATGCATCACCAATCGATAAAACCTGTGAGCGTGAACACCATATGCTATGCTGACCTGCATATTATGGCATAAAACATTTCAGCTCAACACGAAGGTGAAGTACTTCAGGTGGGTGAAACTGTGATCTTGATTCTCGCGTTCGTGCTCTCACATCAGTCAAGACACGTTCTGTTGCCACTTGACATGGCGGCCATAAAATTTGTCCAAGCAAGCTGTCATGTCAATCCGCTTGGCTTCCACATATGGATCTCGATCTGGCACCTCAGTTTGAAAAGAATCGTAAGCCCTCTATTCAAAATCTAGAGTACTGAGTACTGGTTCATGCTATCTGCCATCTCTATTCTCTTCATCTGTTTTCTCATTGCGATCGTCTTCTCGTCTCTTCTCGTCTCTTCGGATCGTCGGACGGTCCCGGTCCCGTCCGGTCTCGGTCTTCGTCTCGCGAGTCCCGAGTCCCTGGCAGCTCGGTAGACCGTGATCTTCAACTCCTGGAGCTTTCGGCACTCAGCCGCTAAGGACTCCGTGTTCCCATTGACCTCACACGAGCGAGGTCGGGAACACGCGAGGTGAAACAACGACGCAAGGTTCAGAATGACGAGGGCTTGAGTGTTGGCCCACAAAACAGGGGGTTCTCGACTCCAAAAGCGGAAAAAGGTGGTTTTTCATGGTTTTCAATCATCTTATTGGATGAAGAGATGCTCTCTTGAGTCCATGAATGCCCATGAGCTGAACAAGTGCGTTCTTGAAAGTCTGCGTGTGGCATCTTGCTGTTGACTTGTCATTGAAACCCATAGCAAAACATCCCTAAACAAGTAATTTGGCTTCAAGTGGGTCAAACCGGACGAACGAACTCACCTACTTGAAGCATGTTCACTCTATTGGACTCCCTTTTCCTACCTTGTTCCTGGTACGGGGAAGATGGAATAAGTATAAACATCATACAGCTATAAATCCAGGTTGAAACGTCGGATCATAGCTCGATCACTGCTTGTTGCAGCTTCGCTGAAGAAAAACAAACCTGTCTCCGGCCTCAGCAAAGCGATCTCCCGGCTGAACTGCTTGGTCTGGATAGGATTGATTCCATTGATCCATTAGGCCGCCCTCCTCCAGCAACTTGGACAATTCCAGACTTTCGGACCAGGAAAATTGAAGAACGAAGAGCTTGGATGAACTTGTTTTCTCATCTTGTGACATCTTGTGACGTTGCACATCGTTTCACGTATTATTTTCATCATAATATGTTTTCACTCATGTTTTCTCTTGTGTAGACCCGATGAAGGCTTGCTTTTTGTGCTGCCTTGTTTTTCTTTTTCCAACCTTTCTTCCTATTTTAGTAATAAATAAATAAGCAAGAACATGATTGATAGTACTCTGAGACTCTTGGTCACACAAGGTTACACACTTGTGCAAAAGGTTTTGAGATGCTTCCAAGCAAAATCCAGGGATGTTGCCGTGACAAATTGAAAAGGCATCCCCACGGTTTCCTTCATTGTGCTAGCCGCATTTGTTGCCCTGAGTCCCACCCCCATCCTCGATCTTTGCGACAGCTAATGATCCATCGAATTCTCGGATAATGTCGACACCTCAAGACAAGAACTCAGCTTGGTCCAAGACCCTTTGCAATGCAGTCCTCTAAGTTCTAAGTCCGGGACCGATTCGCCCACCTGTTCTCCGGTCAAGGTTGACTTCCCAATTGTCCACCTTGGACAACGGTGCAACATCGGCTGTGGGTTGGTGAAATGCATCATCACAAGTCTGCCTTGTAGGTGACAGGAATGTTGGACAAATGCTGCCGGGAGTAGTACACTGGCCTGAGCTGTCAAAATCCAATACAAGAGGTGAATGCATGATGCACCTGCATTCTCAAAACGAGGTGCCTGAGATGCACCTCCTCATGCCGACAAAACACCACCACCACCACCACCACCATCACGAAGCGGCTTGGGATCTGAGATACAAATCGAGCTCTTCGAACAAGGCTTCGAAGTCAACACCGGGCAAGTAGCGCGCCTGGCGGGTAGATCATGGCAGATCCATGCTGGGATCTTTCCAAGCGGTGGGCACCCAGTTGATACACACTCCCCTCTTGAGCTGCTGTACTCAGTCGTCTGATACAAAACTCAGACGACTGATCTGGGTGGAGGCTTCGTTGCAGAAAAACACCCAGAAACAACGTTTTTTCAAGGGAGCGCAAGCTGTAAAGCGCTGCAAAGGCTGAGTGTTGCACAGCTGAAGCTTGCACCCATGGGCTTAAAGAGTTTGAGACCTGGGTCTGAGCAGAATCGTGATCTGGAGGTCTGAGATGAGGGCAGTGGTTGGGTTGGTTGAGGCATGCCAGACCAAGTGAGGTATGGTGAGCGGTCCTGATGAGCCACTACTAGTATGAACCACTGCTTCCTTCCGGCATGTCATCCCTTTACAGGGATTGGTGGCGCACGTGGTTCACAGGTGGTCGCGCGCAGGGTGGTCCATTCTGAACCGCTTGAGTGCGAAGGCAGCTGTAGCTTGCTGTAGCTACACTGACTGTGGAGAGCTTGGATTTATCAGTATTGCTTGAGAGAAATGATTGAACATTCGATACACAGCTTGTGCAATTGCTCACCCCGGTGGCTTTCGTTAAATTATACGCCCCGGGAGATATAAATATATCTACGATGCCTGCGTATACCCCGGTCGACCCCTGTGGCCAGAGTTGGTCGACACCTCTTAGTTTGCTGCATGATCAAATTTGTTGAGAAGCAGCTTGCACCTGTTACATTGGTGGGGAACCTCTGCTGAGCGATGTTTCAAGGAGAAGCAGCCACGGAAGCTTGAGCATATGCTCATGCTTCTTGAGGCAAGGTTGACAGTCGCTCACGGCTGCTGACGTGCGACCCAAGGCAGCTCGGCCCGAACTTTGACAGTTGCAAGGGGGCGGTGGAACAACAAAGGGCCATACCAAGCACACAAACCCAAATCTGTGGTCCTCATCTGTTCTGTGGACCCTAGTCTTGACAGCTGGCCACGAGTTCTAAACGAAGGCCTCGAACGATTTCGGTTGAATGCAACAGTGCATGCAACAAAAGGAATCGATGATGAGCTGATAACCATGCTTGGACAGTATGAAGACATCTGACGAAGGCTGAGTCTCTGACAATGGCCACCCTCGCTACCCGTCGAGCGGCGCGTAGCAAGAAAGACACTAAGTGAGCATGAGCTGCAAGCTGCTCCTGGTCTTGTTAGCGACCAACAGCAAACTGGGCCTTAACACCTTGCTGAACGGCTCATGAGTTCAACATTGGAGTTACTTTTGTCAACTAAAATGGTCATCCAAGGCAATTGTTTGCCAGTGCAAACAATTGTCCCTCCACTATCCTCTTCCTCTCTTTGGTTAATGGCCAATGTCACAAGGGTTTCTTATTGAATTCTAGTGAACCCTCCCTTGCAGGCCACTCTTGGTCCTTGTACTCAGAGCTCTCAGGAAGGACACCAGCTCTGTCTTCTTCAGCCAAGCTTGGTATGATGGTTCCCAAAATGTACCTGGTAAGTTGAAGCTGAGCAGACAAAAAAACACCGCCAAGCACAGTCCAAACCAGTACACGAGTTCCAGCAACTTGGAAAAAACATGATCCAAAGCATTCGGAAACCACTGACTGAGCGAAACCGCATGCCCGGGAGCAGCGCACGTTGTGGGCAAAAGCGTATCATCCCAATCAAAAATGATGACAGCATTTGCTGGGTCGTGGAACCCTGGATCTTCGATGCCTCCAGGCTTAAAAGGGTCAATGAGAGTCACTGAAACCATGGCCTCCAACCTACTAGCCATGGCCTCCAACCTGCTAGTGACCTAGTGATGGCCTCTGGTGTTGTTTATGTATTGTTTTATATCTCTAAGATGTATAGAGGCGCTCTCAATGTTCAAATCAAGTCCATTCGAACGTCTGCGTCATGCGTCGTATGCGTCCAATGAGTCGGGTGTCGCCTAGGTCACCATGGCCAAGAGCTGAATGGAAAATGGATGCCTGACTTCTCATCTTGTAACTATCGCCCGCTTAGATATGGAGTTCTGTGCAGGCAAGATGCAACAAGCAAGTCAGTCCAACTAATTCCAACATTCCATAACTTTCCAAATAAAAACAGGCACATCCAATCACCTTTTCGTCACCTGTTTTTCATCACCTGTTTCTTGTCACCTGTTTATATCACATTTTTCCGTTATCCGTTTTTGTCGCCTTTTTGTCGCCTGAGGCTGGAGCAAGCTTGCGGAAGACAAGTCGCGCATCACAGCAGGCCTCAAGTCACTCGAGTCGCGGCGGCTTCCGTGCCGGTCGAGTCGCAGGTCGTTGCCGTTAGGTGAAAGCGCCCACGAGCCTGGCCTCATAGCACGTTGGCACGTCTGATTGAGGGGACTCTTGGTTGGCCACCGTATCCTTGCGTAGCAGCTAAGCCAGCTAAGGACGTTTTTACACTGCAAAAATGATGAAAGAGGACATAATTGACATAATGATGATGCATCTCCATGGAAGGAGTGCTCCTTGTGCCACAGAATGCCGCAGTTGTCCTTGTGAAAGCCAGCCTGACCAGCCTTAGTTGGGCGACTTGCTTCTCCAAACTTGAGGCTCATTTTGGCGCCTCTCAGGTGCACACGCCTTCTCCTTCTGGAACGCCCTCTCTTCGGAGATCCGCTGCCAAGTCTGGTGAAGACCTCTTCGAAAAGACCGTCTTTGTCCATCTCGTCTCCTACGGCCTCCTACGCAGAGCGCATGGCTCTCTGCGTACCTGCTGGAGAACAGGAACTGGTTGTCCACCTCTTTGCAGCGGGAGGCCTGACATCGCGACAAGGCTGTTCGACCCAAGCCGTTCGACCAGGCAGACACCGTTTCGGTGTTGGCTGTTGCCAGGTGGCCCCGGTGAGTATTCTTCTTAAGCCTTAAGGAGGGTCACGGAGAGTCAGTGGAGAGTGATTTCATCGGGAAGAAGAATGTGGTGGTGGTGGTGGTGGTGGTGGTGGTGGGTAGGACAAAATTAAGAAACTTTCTTTGCAAAGTCCTCCTGTGATTACACAGATTGTGAGTTTCTTCAAGGTGTCTTCTGATGCAAGTAGTCTTTGTCTTTGTCAAATGAATTCAAGACACATGTGCAATCTACAGTCAACGACATTCAGCTGTGAGAAAATCTCTTGAGGCGACAGCATAGCGACTGACCTCGCTGATTGCGAGCAAACCATACTCCATTGCACCAAGGACATCTGGAACCAACTGTTTTGAAGCAACTGCATGCTTTCCATAGTAAAGATCTCAAAGGTGCAAATAAACAATATTATGAACGAAGGCAACCATGAAATAGTAGCATCAGTGCATGCTCATGGTAATTACACATGAATTGCTTCTTTTCACAGAATTAGTTGCAAAAGTCCTGAGTCTGACACATTCTCGAGGGCAATCTGCCGCCGACAGCACTCGGCTTCTGTTTTGGTGGTGGCACTCCTGCTGTTTTGGTCGGGCTGTTTCCGTCTCCAGTCATTCCATGCTTCCTCATATCTATTGTAGTTCTAACTCAGAACAAACATCAACAGAGGGTTTGGCTTCTGTTCCAGTCTTTGGATTAGAATGCTGAACCCAGTGGCGTCAGGCCAAGCCTGAGGCAGAATATCATAATTTGCACTGTTTGCAGCAGTACCTCATTAGAAATAATACCATTCAATTATAACTCAGCAGCAGAGGTACCCTTTGGTAGAAAACAACACATCAATACACCTCATACCTAATCGACATTCCATGTGCCGCTGTGTCTTGGCGTACATTCAAGCACGCGCAAACATTTTCATCGAGACGAAACATATCATATGACATAGTAATTAGCTACTTTCATGCAAAAAACAACGCTGGCATTCTGCATACCAACATGAAGCTTTGCAAGACACGTCATTGTCGCATATCCTCTCTTCCATCTGTCAAAGTCTTTTTCGATACAACTTGTCCGCACGACGTAGTGTGCAAAAGCGATGCTGTCCGCTGTTCACATAAAACCCCAGCCAGTGGCCAAATGACATGCAAAGTTCAACAAACGCCATGTCTCATAAATCGCACGTCACCATGCTGCATCATACGGATGCATGCGATGTGAGTTTTTGAAGCGCCGTCAAGCGCCGTCAAGCAAGCAAGCAAGCAAGCAAGCAAGCAGGCAAGCAAGCAAGCAAGCAAGCAAGCAAGCAAGCAAAGCAAGCAAGAAAGCAAGCAAGCAGCTTGTGATTTATTATCAATCCGACAAACAATACCTTGATGTACTGTCGCAGGTGTCAAACGCAACTGTCAATCCCCGTCCACATGATTGAATGGGCAATTCAAATCACGAAAGTCCATTCTAGCAGGTCCCCTCGAACCAAATGTTCAGCATGTCCAGGCCATTCGCCAAAATACTTGGCCAACACCAACCTTCAAAATTATAGTTTGTCTATTAGCCTGTCACAGCAGGCAAATGGAACAAACAATTCTTGACCGACCTCGAGTCTATCAGCAAAATGTGATCCTAGTCCTGCGCTGCCTGCAGTGGTCTGGTGTAAGCAAAAGCAAGTTGAAGGGTTCATGCTGTAGAGGTGTCACTTTGCAAGGATCAGTTCCATCAGCATGCCGCGCTTGTGTTCCATCCCAGTGTACAAACCTATGCTCAGTGGGCATATTATATCCTGCAGAATATGCAATTCATCAAGTCAAAATCATCCCAAATGGTATCACAAGACTCGAGAAAGTGAATTGTTCAAAATCCCCAGGGACTCCTAATCACTTATAAAAATATAAGTAGTTCTCAAAATTCATTGGTGCACTCAAATGCCTGATAAAACAAGTCATTCGCCATGACTTTCCAGTCGCTCATGGCCTTCTCAGCGGGGTTGGAGGGCGTGGTGCGCCCATGTTGGTCGCTTCATTGTTGGAGACATGCTCTGAGAACCAGCCTTGGGATTCCATCATATGTCATCATATTCCATCTGATTATATAGAGTGATGGGCTGATGCCTAGCTTGCAGATCTAGTGTTCTTCCATGTTCGAAACCATGATCTTATCTGGCAACTTTGCACGTCTTAGGGGCCAAGCTCTTCAATCCAACCGAGTCAGTTCTGCTGATGGTATTGTCAGCATCACCTGAGCCCGGGCTCTTCCAGTTCACCGGTCTCACTCTGCCGGTCTCCGGTGTTCGACCGTACGTCGTTCATCTCCGTGATGGGTGGGACCAAGGTCCGAGCTTTCAAGATTGGTGCCGTCAGGTAAAAGCTCTGCAAACCTCGTTCCGGGAGATGGATGGTGGAATTGGAAGTGGGTTTTCCATGGATTTCCCTGGGTCCAAAGACGGGAGAAAACACGACAAAGGGAAGATGAAGACAAACAATGGCCCCATGATTCATGATATATAGCATCTTGTAGCGAACACATATTATTGTTCATCAAAAAGTGCTGTGCCAAAAAAAGTGTTTGCCATTCTTGCCCCAATCTCATTGCAATGCTAGGACGCGGCACGCAGGGCAGGACTGTTGGTACCCACGGCTTGACGTTCTGAACCTAAATGAGAATGTGTCCAAACATTGCATATCTGAAGAAACGCACATTGGCAGCAGCATGTGCCGAAAAAAAGTGGACTTGAACATGTCACAGGCTTCAGATTGCTTTTCAACACATTTCTGCAACACTTTCATTGGATTAAAATACTCTTCCGCACATTCAGCAAGCGACGGATCGGTCCCCATGTCGCCCCACTAAACCGTCTTCATGAATAACACGGGCGCCGTGTAGTTTAGGCTGCGGGACTGAAAAACGCCGGTGGTGCTTAACAGCAAAATGGCTGGAGGCACTCGAAGCCTTACAAGGAAGTGGAACATTTTGTTTGAATCTCTTGGCGCTCTAGTCTTGTACCTCCACTCGAGCATATATTTGTAAGTCAACATGCCTGGCTTCAAGACTTGTTGGGCTGAGCAAATCTGCCTATATGCAAAACCTGTCACAAGCCGTTCGAGAATCCTGATCCAAGCTGTAAATGAGAGGCTCATTGTTTGTGCTTTGCAATTTGAGAGGCTCATTGTCACAGCAACAGTTGGGCGAGAACAATCTTCAGCCACGGCATGCAAGAGTGCAAAGCTTCAACATCGCACACGAAGAAAAAACTCGAGATTAAAGACAAAAGTAACATAAACATACCGTACCAACAATGATGAAATACGCTATAACAACTTGGTGACTTAAATACGAAACGGCCGACATGTGAGCTTCTTTTGACCTTTCCCCAGGCTGCCTCCTTCAGCTGCCAGGGATCCCTAAAAGAAAACCGAAGCGCATCTCTCCTTGCAGCTTCAATTTATTTCTGAGCGATTTCGATGGTTTTCTCTTCAGCTCAGTTGCAAAACGGCAAGAACTCATTATGTTCCCAAGCAAGAAACCATACTGCATCAGGAGCTGAGAAGACCAAACCCTTCCAAATTAAAAACCATGCCTTTGAAAATCGCGTCCAGGAACGCAAACTGCTGCAAGCTTCAATTAAAGCACTGAGTTCAATGTGCATGCAAAATGCAAGAACTGATTTATCAACAGTCCCGGGCAAGCTCAGCAAAAAACCTTCAAGAGCTTGCAGCTCCAATCACATTCAATATGTGTTGACATGTGTTCGACTGGCACGCATCTTGCGCACCTTCAATGTACATGTCTACCATATTCCGTGCAGCAACCAGAATCAGGCCGTTTGTATGTTAAAAAGGTTTCTGCCTGCAGCACGGTGGTTCGACTCTAGCTACAGCGGGCGTAATGAACAGCTTGTGGTTCACACCCAGGTATACTCTAGTCTGGATCTGTTGCGTCTAACAGTGGCATGAGAGCATCAGAGGCCTCGGCCAAGCATTGCCAAAAGTTCCTAGAGTTCGATGCACGTTGTTCGGCCATCTTGCAGCTGAATTGCCTCTGAGTTCGATGACGCTGAGAGAGTTGACCTCAAGGGGAAGCTTGCGGACCGAATCCGAAAGGGGACCCTCTTCAGCCCTGAGGAATGCACAGTCGTCCCAGGGTGCTTAAATCTTGTAACCTGGGAATACAGAGATGCCTGTGGAAAAATCAAACAACTCCTTCCGTCTCTGGCAAAATGTGTTTGTTCATATTTGACCCCTGAACCTTTCCTCTTGATTCCTCTTGTATACTCTGATCAAAATAAGATTAAATAAGTGTATGCTGTAAGCAACACTTCTTGTCACACTCTGTGGGGGGTGGAAGACATGCTCAGGTAGCAACCTGGCTTTGCTTGACCTTTTCTTGGCTTCCTCCAATTCATTCGCCTCAGTCTGCAAAACGCCTTTAGAGAACATCAACTTCAAGGCACAAGAAGGCTAGACGATGCTAAATGCAGCTATGTCGTTCTTGTGGATTTGGTGGTTGCCGTTTGCCTTCGCTGGGCTTGGAGCAATCTGTGTGCTCTTCACCTTGATGCCACAAAAGTCGATCTCCAACCTGGCACGGGAGGGGACATCTGAGAAGCGACCCAAACAACGAGAAATACACATAGACTATCATAGACTTACTGGAGGATCAAAGACTCAACACTCATCTGACTCATCTTCTCAGTCATGTGCACAGCATGCATCAGCCGCATGAAGTCCGGAAAGTCGATGGCCCACTCCTGCCAATCGACCCCAAGTAGTGAACAAGAAGTGCCATCCAAAGTGTGATTTAAGGTAAAATCAGAAGTGAAACCGGAGCACTCTGCAAAGCGGTGCCTCTGTATCTGAGGTGGTTGGTGCCTTCTCCACATTCTTCTGCCAAAGCTGTGCCAGCTGTTGTACCTCAACAAGGCAATTTCTGCGGGAGGGAAAATTCGGGGTTTGGCAAAAGCATTGAGCTGAGTCAGAGACTCTGCGGTCGCCCAAAGGTACCAAACTACCCAATAGAGATACCACCGATTGAAAGCTGAGGTGGTCCCTGTGCTCATCATCCTGGCATGCAAAGACTTGCACAGTAGCAAGTTGATGTTAAGAATTGTGTTTGGGTCCCTTGCATAAGGTCCCCCTACAGTAAGTTAAAGGGGTCCAAACACCTTCTTTGTTTCTCCTTGAGGGGAACTCTTGCATCTTGAGGGGAAGGTCTGTTTGGCCGTGAACCCTGCGCGGATCTTCCACGTCTGAGCAATTCCAGAAGGTCATTACTGGCATGACAACTTCCTTCATATCATGCAAACAAACCACAAACGAACAGAACAAGCTGCCAGCTGGGCATGTTCAACGAAGATCTCCCGGAAGTCGCGTACTTGAGCATGCGTGAAGCTCAAGTGATCCAAAGCAACTTGCTCCTCGGTGGCAGCAAAGCTTGAAGAACAATGTTCTTTGATTTGATCACGAAAATCCCTCTCATCCCCCACACCAACCCTCCAAAATCACTCCTTGCGAGCCTTTGCTCTCCTGCTGGAGTCTTCAAGTTGGCCTTTGCTGTAGAGGAACTTGGAACAACCAGCCCAATTCAAGCAACGGTTTGAATGCGAGCCCAGGCTGCAAACAGAATCATGAGCTTAGGCTGCAGCGGGCCATTCCCAAGAACTCATTTAAGGACATTCTACCGTCACCCGCGTTCGCCTGTGCCAAATGTACGAAATGCAACAGTTCCAAACACTCCCAAAAACCGCAAAGCAACCTCATATATAGTTGCTTTAAAGGCTTGTGAGGACTGGTGTACGCGCTACACTGCTATGCCGTGTACGGTATGCCGTGGTCAGAGATAAAGGCTTTTGAGGACTGTCAAAACGTACTCCCACCATCATCCCGCCTCTCTCAGCAGCTTGAGTATCTCAGGTCGACATTTGGGATCCAGGGAGAGTTCGGGCACCAGTTCCTGTGGCGGTGAAGAAAACGCAATGACAAGAAGGTTTGTGGGCCCTGTCCAATCGACTTTATCTGCTTTTGTCTGCTTTTATCTGAATATCAAAAGCACCCACCCAACATCCATATCATCCATCAAACTTGAACCATGGATACTCCCGGAGTACCATCTGGCTCTACGTGCTAACATCACACGCGATGAGGATCCGTTTTACAGGAATGTCATTACATTCGCCATGCGCTGCGTAAGTGGAAGCTGACAACCATAGAGGAAAACGGACATCACGATTCATTGCCACCCTAAACCCGATTGCTTGGCAGGGAAACACTGCTTCAGCATGCTTCAGCTTTGTTTCAAGGATCCGACCCTATCATACACACACACACCGAATGGATGTTGCACTAAAGCCACACATGGTTGGTGGTCAAAATGTTTTTTCCCGAAAGCGGCTGTACAAGTCATTCTGATGGGGGCCCGCTTCTTGTTCAATACCTTTCAGAGAGGGTAGTTGGGATGTATGGAAATGTGAAGTACTTCAGTCAAAGGTGCAGAATGTTGCAAACGTACCTAGCGCGATGGCCGTTGTCCTGTGTTACCTCTTTGACGACCTTTTGTTGTCTAAGCTAGCCATGCTGTGAGGAATTTGATAGGAAAAGAGACATGGGCACAAGCTTTCCAAGTAGTAATGGCGAAGATCTGCTTCCAGGACAAATGGACATCTGATCACATTTGAGAACTGTGCTAGCGCAAACCTAGCGCAAATGCTAGCGCGGATCTAGCGCACAAAACTCAGATCTTTTTCCAGTTTGAGGTAACCGCAACACACATCACAAAGGTCACTTTTGTATTTTCCCCAGTATAGTATACTTTGTATACTACTACCCAGTTGCAGCATTCCCCCGCAAAATGCGCAGGATTTCATGAACCAAACCAATGTTGATTCTATACGACAAGTAAAAAATCAACCACGAACCTAGCGCCAATCTAGCGCTGCCTTGGTGGTTTGCATGATTCTGCTGGGGGCCCGCTACTAAACCAATACTTAACATCAACATCCTAACCATTTCCCATACCACCTTTCAAAAACATCTTGCTATAGGGGTTTATGACCGCTGCTCACATGTGTGCACAGAGAATGCATGCACGGAAATGCACAGAATAAGCTGCCTGACAGAGTGTCCGCAGCTCTGATGAATGCACCGTTCCACTTCCATCCGAATCGTACTCTTGGAACCTGCCAGATCGATCCGGTGTGACTGACGGGTTGGGGTATGCCGGTCATTGAGCCACATGTGAGCAGCCTTACAGTTGAGATATCATGAGATGCTTTTCGCTTACATGTTGGTCATTCGTCTTGTCATAGCATCTTTGCCTGCGTCGCAAGACCTCAACTTCTTCCACTGAGAAGCCAAAGTGTTGTTGTGCCAGAACCTCAAATCGAGCTTCGGTTTCACAGCGCAGGATTACCAGCAGCCCCCGTTAGAGAGGTCCAACCTCAAGCAGGCCATTGGATAGCATGGGTGGGTTGATCGCTTCTCTACCAGCACACTTCTTTATACACAGCCAATGATTGTCTCTGACAGTATTGTCTCTGACCTATGATGCTGGCCCGCATCTGGTTGCGCTTGGTCACAGCAGTGCGCAAAATGCCATACCTCAGAAGCACAAGTGGCAAGGGCACAAGCAATGGCTGGAATCTCATGTCAAGAATATCACAAACAGGACAAGAAACCTTCGTAAGCATTGGAGTGAAGCCACACGGTGCTGCAAGAATCACTACAACGCAATGGGCCCTGTACGCAATAACATCTCCCATGCAAAGAATTTGTCAAAGCACGCATCTTATGTATCGTTTCAACGTCATTCACCGTCGTCTTAAACTTTAAACCATCTTGGAGGAATGCTGGCTAACTATGCTGGCATAGCAATGTACTCACAAAAACCCTGGAGCGAATGCAACATTATGTCCCTTCTTTCTGATGTTTCACTATGATTCTTTGTCCCATCTCCCTGGTGTTCAACAAATGCAGGAAATATGATTCCAAGATATTCCAAGCAAAACAAACAAGTCTTGTTCTCTAAATCTATCGTTTGCCTTATGATACTTCTTATATGCACACACAACGAATGATCAAACACCTGATGGATCTTGCACTGGGTGTTCATCAAGCGCCAGGCACGAATGCGACTTCACAACACAAGCCGCGCCCCACGTGGCAAGTGTGTAGTCGCGGCGTCTGAGATCCACACCGCGCATCTTCTGCATCTTTCATCTTCTGTGCCTCAAGGCAAATGTAAACAAACCCTCACCGCCCTGATTGAAGCGGAACATCTACCATGCGGACCATGCCGGGCTGCTATTCTAGAATCGCAAATCACTGCGTCACTCAATCGGTAGGAGCGACGGCCGGTGCGTACAAAGGGCACGGACGTAATCAGTCTAGTCGGACGTCTTCGCTCTGAGCACTTGGCAAGTGACTTAAAGTCCGTCCTCGATCGCGACACTGTCATAGTCATTGATGATGTTGGTGCATGCAGGCCGAGGAAAGTCATGCTTTGCTTCATCCTCATACTTCGGCGAAAGTATACAAGGAACGTCAGACTGAGCGGCATTTGGGAGAGCAATCTCCAGAAGTCCATAGGTGTCTGAATAAGTTTGACAGCTTGGTCACCGACACATGTTGACCATCTGCAGATGTATCCTTTCCAACCATTCCCATCCTGTTTGTTTATCAAGGTCAACCACAACACGTTGGCGAAGCAGCACCAAATCTTGTCAGCTAACCCTGGGCGCACTTGAGGTATGAGGCCCGAATTTGCTCAAGTTCCTTTTGGCGGTACTTGCGGACCTTGGCCATGTGCATGACCTCTCTGCACTGTGGAAGGATCAGAGGTGTCTCATGCTGCTGCACAGGGCGTTGGTTTGCAGGAACTTGAACATCTCTGGGGATGCCACTAGCTTCAGAAATTCTGGCAAGCTAATGTCACCGGTTCCAGCAATGTCAACCTCTCAAACGGTTGACACATGGCTCTTGCAGTTCATTCGGAAGCGAATCTAGAATCTAGTCATTCTGGTCCAATCAAGAAGTCTCTTGATCTTATCTCGTAAAGGCCTGCCTCAGCAAAGAGCAGTTCATGCTCCTCGTAGCTCGTTTTGTAGCCAAGCCAGCTCAACGCTCGCCCAGCGTCACAGCTGCCTGAGCTAAGGAACAGCCCTTTGTGGGCTGCGGTACTTGCGGTACTGGCTGTGATCCGTTTGACAGTCGTGAACAGCCATGAGTAGCCAGTTCGCCTCACCTGCAACGCATTCCAGATCATAAATGTTTAACACAAGCTTATCCCTTGTCCTTGATATCTTTGATGGAAGATACTGGAGTAAGTTGCTTGAGGCCATGAAGTAATTACTGTTTCATATGAAACAAACAGTAGTCGCCACATTAGTTGAAACCACCCAGCCATGAGCCGCTCTGAGCCATCCAGCTGATACGCGACATATTGTCACTCTCATGGCCAAACTTCTCAAAGAAAACCTGCACACTGTGTGCTTTTTGTGCTGAAGGGCATCTACGAGAATCATGCTGGAACAATTCGATGCACTTCTGAGGCAAACAAGCCAGATGTTGCTTCACCCTATCTCATGGCTTTGTCTCATCTGCTTGTGAAATACCTGGCCTTCAATTCATCAGCTTCAGCTCGCGTAAAGCCTTCACGCAGTCGATAAACCTGGTGCAATACAATGCACTTGAGACACATGTCCCACCACGAACACCGAAAACAACTTTATAAAGTATGCAAAAACAGCAAAGGAAGAACGCAAACCTCACAAACCATCACAAACCCTGATGAAGGGCTTTCTTGGCATCGCCCTGGGGGCCCACTCTGCAAACACAAGCATCTGTAGACGCCTCCAGAAAGCGGTAGGCTTCAGAGAGGCTCAGCTGCTTCTGCAGGGCATGCAACCAAGCGCAGTCGACACCCGTTGACCAACGCAAGACACCCGTCTACACTGAGTCTACACTGCCCCACTGTCTTCCTTGACACACAACAACAGGTTCTTCATGGTTCTTCTCTACACAATCATGTCGAGTAGGTCGAGATGCTACGTTGCCCGAACGGAACATCGAGACTTGATACCAGGACAGGCAGCAAATAAAACACTACTCTCACTCGCCTTTGGATTTTGTGACCTTTGTAAGGCTTGGTCTGGAACAAGGGCGGGGCACGTAGCTTCTGGGACAACAATCAAGGTTGCACGCATTGTAAGAGGCCGTACTGTGGAAGGATACGTCATATGCTGACTTGATCCCCAGTCAGGGGTGGCCGGCATTAGGGAATTGATTTCGCGGCAGTGTGGTGTCCATGTTCGTGTCAAAGGCTTCGAAAAAGGCTTGGTGCAGCTTGGTGCCTCATGTGCACACCATTTGGCTCTGGAAGATCCCAGGCAGTCGACACCCAGATGTTACGCACATGTCGAATCATGACCATGTGACGTCCTGGAAAGCAACTTCATGCCTCGATGAAGCGAATTTATGTGAATTTAAGTACCTCCCATTACCAGGACCCTGTGGATGAATAATGGTTGATAGAGCCCTTTCTAAAAAATAGTGATCAGTGATACTCTTAAACCATCTTGCACCGACTCTTACTGGTATTGGGACATAATTACAAGTAATTACATGGACAAAAGTGAATGATGTTGATGAAACGACCAGTGTGAGCGGATGAAGATGGATGAAGACCACCAGAGTTTTGGCATGAAGCTGCATGGTCTGTCCGACCGTCCAGGGTGTGATGGACGAGCCGCGGGATCGTTGGAGACCGAGGAAGCGGCCGCGCTGTTTTACTGCGTTGGGATGCAAAACACGGGGCTCTGAATTGGAAGAGGCACAACGCTTAGCACTGTAAGTTAGCATTTTGAAGTTCGTCAAAATGACTTGTGAAGTTGATTTAACTTGTTTGCTGTTTATGTTTCGAAACAGGCGGTTTGTGGCCTTTTGCTAAAACGATCTCTACTTGGCAGAGCAGTAGAAGGTACAAGCAAACGGTTTGTACCAACTTATAACAGCAACACTCATTCCAAATCAGAAAGGTCAATATTATGGTCCAGTCACTGGTCCAGTCAACCGTTGGATTGGGATGGAATGGCACGTGTTAATCAGTTTGAACATATTTCAACACCAACAAATGTTGCGTCAGTTGTGTCAAAAACGAAGAACAAAGGGCATCCCTACTAGTAACAAGTGCATCGCTACTAGTAGCTAGAAGCTTCTAGATACAAGGGCGTCGCTACTAGTAACAAGGGCATAACTACGATTAACTACGGTAGTATATAGTATGAGAGTGGGTTCCACTTCTCAAACTCTTTGAACCGAAGTTCCAGATTTCACCGAACTTTGTCGACCGCAAGCAGAACAGGACTTTTTGCTACTAGTAGCGATGCACTTGTTCCTAGCAGCGATACACTTAGCTATTAGTAGTTTCTTGCTACTGCTGCAAGAAACACATTGTCTCCAAATTGTATACTGGCAGGACTGATCCAGCCTGGCTCTTTGTTGGAGCATCCACATTCACCAGGCTTAAACTGATCGTCTGGGCACTATTGCGACGGCCCCTTGGCACAATTTGCCGATTGAGTCCGTTGTCTGTGCGAACACCAAATTCGATAATAATATGTTGTGCAAAATGTTACGTGGATCATTGAGATGTCTGAGGCAACCACCCAATCGTTTGACCTTTGCCTAGGTTGATGTTGCTATCGCAGGCTGCATCCCTAATGGCCTGATCCAACGGAAAGTCTGGCAATTGACTCGTACTTATCAAAATTTGAAAACCCGCACCTCTTGGTCAGGCACATAACCAAGCACCCGCAAAAGACTTGTCAACAATTCCTGCAAATTGGAACAAACAAACATGGATTGATTCTGCCTCAATGTTTCAATAAAATGCCAACACCCACAGATCTCGCCAACAATGTCAGTCCTCTTTGTCTGATCTTGAAATCAGCTCGAGCCGGCCAAGTTCATCCTGGAAATGTGATTCTTCAACAAAACACAAACAAATGTTTTTCCAACAAATCTGCAAATCCTCCAAACGCTTTACTTCTTGTTCGCGAACCTTCCTGAAACACATGCAGGGAGTCATCAGGGCAACAAATCAAACCTCTGTGAGTGAGCCTCATGAAGAAAATGAATTCCGGAAAACTCAAAGTGCCACTGCCATCAACGTCAACAGTGCGCACCAAGTTGGTCACGACCTGTTCAAACAAGATTCATTTTTGGCACGCCCTACCCCCCCCACCACACAAATGAGTGGCCACTAGAAAGGTGCTTCCCACTTTCTGCCGTGCCTCTGGGCTCATCTCGTAACCCAAATAACCCAGGATGCCCTGCAGAAAGGACGACCATTTGTTGAACAGGAAGACACCAAAGACTTCAATTTTGAAGTTGAACATGTTCAAACATGTTGAAAGGACGACACTCGCAGTTCAAAAATGTTCAAAAAACACCGACACTCGCTGACTTGGACTCCGTACAAAGAGTGCCCCTGTATTGAGGCAACCGAACTCATCGGCAAAGATTTCGAAGGCATGCTTAAACTGGCGCAGGTCGTCGAAACATCCAAGAACCATCAATATCCGCATGAGCAAAGTATTTTGGTGTTTTTTGCACATGGACAGGATATGATAGGATCATGTTGCTCTCCAAAAGTGCGGAATTCTCTTTTCCGATGATGGGCTCCAAGAGCCCATCTTTTCAAACCTCCCAACATCCGAAAGCGGCAACTTTGTACCCAACGGATCGACATCAGACTGGGTCCATTTCCGCCAGCTGTGCTGAAGATTGGCTCCTCAGCGAAGCAGAAGGGTTAGAGTCTCTGAGACATTCTGAGACTCCACTCTGAGACTCCACTCCGCTCGCGGGCAGTCACCAATATGTGTTTTTTTGGTTGTTCTTGGTCGCTCTGCAAAGTTCAAGGCTCTGGACTGCAGATTGCGCAGCGTGAAGGACTTTCTGCCACTCCGCTTGCCTCGCGCTGTCCCGAAGCCTGCCTGTCTCCACATCCTCAGCTGATGCCACCGGTCAGATTCTCGGGACTCACGTTAAAGTGATCAATTGTTCAAAAGATCTACAATCCAAATGAATCCAAATGAGCACATGCTCCACAGCAAAATCTGGACTCTAAACAGTTCAAATAATATATATATATATACATGAATATACGGAGTTCTCTGACTGTTTGTAATGGCATGAGCCACTGAGAGCGCCAGGTCACAAAGAAGGTTTGCAAATACGAGCTCCAGCATGTGCTGCTGGAGAGCTTGTCTCTGAGAATCATGAGCAGCGCGCCCAACCAATTCTCACAAACATCCTGGAAGCTCTCGGCTAAGGCAACGCAACCCTTGGAAGTTACATGAATTTACTACACACAATGTTTTGACGAAGGATGTCGTCCTCTGCGTCTGCGTCAGACTCAAGTTCGTCGCCTGCGCCATGTTTGCGTGTTCAACCTCCCTTAATCAAAAGCAATGAATCCTCTCACTTGGTTTCTTTTTTTTGTTTTCTCTCTCTCTCTCTCTCTCACTGCCATTCTATACCATCAAGTCATCCTGCCCCAGCCATTCTGAAGAGGGAAGTGCGATGCGTTCAATTGCAAAGATCCGGCCTGCTTCCAACAGAAAGGCTTCCTCAGTCTTCACCAAAGCTGCAGCGTACGGTGTGCCCGGTTCGAATTTGGCTGTCAGGACAGCTTGCATTGCACACCAGCTGCTGCCAAAGCCAGCACCTAACAGCTCAGAGCTCAGGACACCTCTGCTGACATCTGAATGCATCGCCGAGCTCTCCGAAATGCGACACAATTGTCCCTCAAATGATCGCCCAGCTGCGTTTTTTGTCTCGGTGATGGCCAAAACGCTGCACTTTGCGAAGGGCTGCTGTGGCGCTTAGCTCCTCTGGACGTGAAGTGTCTAGGCTGCTGGGTTTGGTGCATCATGGTGCATTTGCAGGGGCCTTTTGACCTTTTGGTTGTCTTCGGTGTGGCCACTCCTGAAACATGCCGGATAGTGGCCAATTTGATGTAGCCTGGTAGGCAGCCTCAAGCATCTCTGGAAAATGAAAATATCCAAAACAGAGTCCCTGGATGTTAAAGCTCTACCAGCGTTTAGGGATAGGACCTCGTGCCACTAAAATAGCCTTACTCCTCAAATATTGGCATCAATTATTGGCTAAGCGATTGGTTTGATTCTCAACGAAGCTGATAGCAGCCTCAAGTAAACATTAACATTGAAGCAACCAGGCAACCTCGGCATTGCGAAATCTGCATGGAGCTCTACTGCATGGTGCTGCAATTGCCATTCCAGCACCGCCCAAGTCCTCAGCCAGTTTGGTGAAGGTAGGATTGAAACACACTCTTGGACCAAAACAGCAAGAATGGAGTTCACTACGTGCCTATGATATCCTAGGATCCGACATGCCAAGCTTCAAAGCCATTTGAGAGGACTTGTGCTCGACATAATCGGCATAAAGCGCTGGTGGCATCCAATCTGGAGAAAGCGACTATGCCCAAGGCATTGTGCCTTGTAGCATACAAATTGGTGAAGGCCCCACAGCACTTGTGCATAGTGATTAAGAACTTGCAGCTAATGTGAACTTGCTCTAGACATGCAGCTAAGAACAGTGAGCTAACCCTTGTGAACCCTTGCAACAAGACGAGTAAGCCAAGCATGATGTGGCCTGCTCCGAGGGTCTCTAAAGGTGGCACCAGGCACTGGTTCCTGCAGTGGCTGTTGCTAGTATAGTTTCTTGTTACTAGTCTTGCTACTAGTAGTACGGCCAGGAGCCCCTAGTAGCGTCCTTGCTCCTAGTAGCGGTGCCAGGAGCCCCGTTCGTAGCGTCCTCTTGTTACTAGTAAGTAGTAATGCAGTTCCTGCCGCACAGGTCGTTTCGGCTGCGTCTTTTCGTGACGTGCACCGGGCCTCAAGGGTCGCCTGCGGGCCACGCCGGTCGCGTGATGAGCTGCTTTGGCCTGTGCCAAAGACAGAGCAAATAATCCCGAGCACCTTTTAAAACATGTACCCTTATTAAAAAGTCATGTCAGAAGCCCCTAAATACGGTTATATTCGCTTTTAAGTTGCCGCCCTTTCAAGCCGCTACTAAACTACCAACATGGCCGACTTTGGAGGAGTTTTCAAAACTAGGTTCCAAAAACAACCGTAACTGCCCACCTCTGTCCACCCTGTCTATCCACCATGACACGCCGTGTAAAAACAAGCAGGCTTTCCTTCCCCCAATGGCACGGACTCACTCAAACGCACTTTCCACCGAGGTCACGCAAAACCGCATGGCACAGCGACATCACCTGTCGAAAGCTTTAGTTGTTAGTCTAATGAATCACTATTCCAATAAAGGTTTTTGTAGGGGAAAAGGAAGACCCTTCGATCTGGATGTTCTTTAAATTTTTGATACGAGTTTACTAAAGGATTCTATATAAAATGTATTAAAATGTTCCTGGGTCACTTTTTTGTTTTGAAGCCCTTCCCAGGTGACCCTTTTTTGGACCCCCCGATTTCAGGGACCCCTATTAAAGAAAATGCGACCGAGGTTTCCTTATTGGGGGGGGGAGTGTTTTTTGAGAGTCCGGGTGTTTGTCAGAGTGCGCTGTTTTATGATTTTAAGTAGTGTTATAACATAATATTTCTTTAAATAGATTTCCTTTTAAAAGTATTTTTATTGAAGAAGTATGAAGAAGTTATATTTTTGACAACTCATGCCTTAATAATGGACGGTTAAATCCTTCTAATGTATAATTTTGTCCTAGTTTTGTTGCAATTTTTTCTACTGTATATTCACCTTGTAAAAATGACTTGTTCTCTCTTTCTCTGTAATTGCTTTCTTCCTCATTATTTTTACCTTGTCTCCCACCTCTAATGTTGGATACATCTTTTTCTTTCAAGAGGTTTTCTTTTGGATAGATCATCCTGAACAAACACTTGGTGTCCCATGGTGTCCCTCCCACCTGCATGGTCTCGTCGTCGCTCTCGGTGGCGAGGTCCTGCCGCACTCCCCTTGGGGCCCTGTGGACCAGTGCGCGAGGTGTCGGTGATCTTCGGCAGCGTTGGTTTGGAGACCGCCGCCGCCTGGCAGCGAACCACTAACGGTCACTAACGACCCTGACAGTTGTCGTGAACCAAAACGCAAAAGAGAAATGCGCTGTGTGACCTTCTGAGTGAAAGCTTCCCTTGACGAAGTCGAAGCTCTGCCACGGACGGTGCGTCCCAAAACACGACCATGCAAGGTTAGGCTTTTGTACTGGTGGATCCACAAAAGGCGTGCTCCTGCCTGAGAACTTGAAGCTGAAGGTTGGAGCTTCTCATGCTCTGCTGGCCGTTGTGATTGCTTTGCTGCAGCTGGCCCTTCAGCAACAGAACCTTGAGCACTTTCTCCATCTAAGCTAGCATTCTTGTGCTCCTCTTCCTGTAGGAAAGTATCCCCCTGATGAGCGCATCGTCTTCAAATTCTTGTATACCCAAAGGCTCTTGGACCCTTAAACTGCTAGATATACATGTTATGTTGGTCCCAAAACCCTAGTTGTGAGGGTCAAAACATGTCAAAACGTGGAACGCTCACACCAGGCAGAAACAAACGAAATATCTGTGGATGCTTTGCATCAGGCTAGCCTCGCACCAGCACCCACAGAAGAGGCGCCAGCAATGGCTCCACCAGAACCTTCTCAAGCACCGGAACCACAACCCTCAGGCCCAGCAGCGAAAGCAGAACTTGAAACACCCACAGCACCCCAAGCGCCTCGCACCAGCACCCACAGAAGAGGCACCAGCAATGGCTCCACCAGAGCCTTCTCAAGCACCCGAACCACACAACCCTCAGGCCCGGCAGATACAATTGAAATATCTGTGGGGTTGGGTGCTTTCTGAGCCGTTGGGTACAATTCGCTCAAACTTTGTCCTTCGGAGCTTCCACCTCAGCCTCCTCAGCTTCAGTCTCAACAATCGCTTCTTTGGCCTGCGATGTTGTACCGGCTTGTCATGGTTCCTCACTTGCTAGGTGTTCCAGGTGCCAGGCAACATTGATGAACACAAATGACAAATGCAGAACAATGCAATTGTTTTCAAATTTTGCAGAATCTGACATGGTCTTCCTTTACAAGCCTTCGCGTCCTTATCTGCTGACATTTCTTGTGGCTCCACTGTTCGCTGGAGCTTGATTTGCAAGGGCTGGCATCCTTTGCACAGATCCTCGCAGGAAATGCAACTCCAACATTGCCAGCTACCGAATGACATGACTAGCGGCACCCCATTTGGTGGATGCTCATGTATAATTTCTAAACATCCCATAATTAGTGGTGTGTGCGCGCGCACACACACTTATGCACCATGTGGCAGCCCATGGCACTTGCTGTGGCTTAGTTCTTACACTGCTTGCACACATGATGTCGGCTGCTTGTATCAGCTTCTCTTCCAAGTGTCCATCAAGGTGCGTGCATCTCCAGTTTGACCATTGACTTCAAGAAGAACATCTCCCTCTCTGACCTGCAGGTCGCAGATTTGACTCTGAGAAATTAATAAATAGGACCAAGGGAAGTCGCGATAGGACTTCCACACCAGTGCTCAGGTGCTCCCAGCCACACCTGCGCATTGGGATTACCATGGTTTGCAGAGTTCCATTCTTGCACCAAGCCCGGCTGGACTTCGATGACAATCAGCTCGCCATCCTCCTTGTCGACACGCAGGCCTAAACGGTCGCCAAAGGACCGGTCCACTAGGACCATGTACCTGGGTGATCTGATTTCGTCAACTGGATTCTTGTTCTGAATGTCAAATGAAAAACTCATATTTCTCTTGACTTTTGAGATCCTTCTTGCCACATCAGGTCAGGGTAAGTCCAACACTCCTCGGTTCTGGAGGTAGCAAGGTCAACTTGCGAAGCACGGGATGGCATCAAGGCACGCAGGTTCGGAGCCTTGCAGTCCTGACACCCGCCCATCCGCCCAAAAATTACCCGAACATGGCATACCAACAGGTGAAAATCCCGGAAATTCACACTTCAACCAATGGCATACAAGCATCCCTGCATGGATTGCCACACAAATGCAAAGCAGCACGACCACTACATCGGAGCCCCTGCACGAAGAAAGTGCCATGACTGACTTGTGCGCATGATCGAAAACAAGAATCTGACTCTAAGAAAATATTGCACTAGTCACTGATTCCAAACCAGGGTGTCTGAATATGTTTCAAATGTAGAGTTTGATCAATTTAGGCCTGGCCCAAGCACCTACATGAAGCCCATGAAATAGTAGCACAGGCGGACCAGCAAAAGGAGCGAACACTTCGACCCGTTGAAGCTTCCTTCGATCCTGTGATCGGAGCAGGCCGGATCACACAATACTGGCATCCAGGAGATGTGAAAGTCACAAAAAATCACCAGAAGCTCCTGAACCTGGTGCTCCTTGTACTGCTTGTACTCGTTGTACTTGCGGGCGGGGTGATGCTGCAGATGATGGTGAAGGACTCTGGTTTGCCTTGTGGACCCATCCACAACGCATGACACCAAAAATGACTTCACTCAGCGCTGCCACAAAAACACACAATAGCAGTGATTTACAGCCTTTAGAATCGTTTAAAGCACTCTCCTCTACGGAGGGCAAATTTTCTACTTGTCGGACTTGTGTGTGTGTGAGGGAATCAAACTTCTATGAAACATGAGGCCAAAGGCAATCCATGTAACGCATGTACTATGTGAGAGCAGCCTTCACTGCTTGTACTAAGTCCGACCCAGCCTGCCGCTCTGCCAATGCTGTCCGAATTTCTGGCGGAAGGGATTCCAGCAGTTCTGAAGGCACAGTTTTTAGGCCCTCTGAACCACCTTCTTGGCAAAAGAATGTAGTGCTCCTGCATGCTACGCTGTCTTGTTGCCAAGAACTGGCATCTTGAACTTGGGTGGTTTGGGGACCGTCTGCTCAAAAGCTGTGGCTTGAGTTTCAGTGAGTTGGTGGATCAAATAATGTATTTCAAAGGTCGCTCAGCAAGACGTTTTGACCGCCTAACCCAACCCTTGACCAACATGTGAATGCATGTGTGTATGCCATACGGTACATTGTATCGTCCTTCCGTTTAGGTCCATAAGATTTAAGGCTCATATATATAATTCTATATAATATCTGAAAGCCCGAATTTCCTGCCGGCAATCTGTGAATGTCTGTGCCACTTGAGTCTGGCAGCGTTGCCTGATTGATTCCACTGTGAAGAATATCGACACAGGCAACTGAATCTTTCGGAGCTCTGTCAAGCTTGGAGCAGCCTGGCATGAACATGTTCAGCAAGCATTCTGGCAAATAATGCTGGCACGTGGCTGATTCCTGGATGCAATTATACCCGGGTCCACCGGTTTGTAAAAAACTTCATTGCAGCATAGACGCCACATGCAAAAAAATACAATTGGACAGCACCCTGCAATGGCACCAGCTCCAAAGCACACACGGGAAACTCTTCTTATACTTCAAGAAAGAACCCCGTCTCGAAAGCGCGCGCGGCCAGCTCACAGCACCGGCACCAGCACCCGCACCCAGCCGCTATCTGGGGAAAAAGTTCTGATTGGGGAAACTACAGTTTTTCTTGTAGTTTCTTTGAGGAAGTGCTGTTTCAAGAAAAAGTTGCGTTTCAGTTCAAACCCTCCCTTGTCTTCAATACGAACACTTACAACAGTTGCCAAAGTGCAAATCTTTGTGCCGCTTGAGCGCAATTTTGCGCCTTTTGAGTGCTATTTTGTGCCATTTCGCGAGGGTCATATGCCGCTTGAAGATTTGTTCTGTCACCATTGGAGGAATATATAACTCAAACACATAGAAAAGGCCCCAAAAGTAAGTGCAATTGTGTTTTAAAAAGAATGTTTTTCTGGAAAAAGCAGTTAATTATATGCTACCATTCATTGCAATCATCTGTGAACTTCAACAAACTGAAGTGTATTAGCCTTGATGGATCCCTCACAAGCCCGCCGCTTCATTCAAAGGGCCTGGTCTGGCTGATCCTGCCCCACAGGCCCTAGCCCAGTGATGCGGCTGCCGGCAGGCAAAGGCTTAATGGTGAGTGGCATGCCGACTTGCCGCTTCAAAATCAGGTCCTGCAGATGACTCCAACGGCTCCAATGACCCAATGACTCCATAGTAACAAAGGGCACCACTACTAGGAGCAAGAAGCTACTAGCTCCTGGCATTACTACCAGTAACAAGAAGCTATCACATTGGATACCAACGCTCCCACTGTCCTGATCCACTTCATCACAAAAAGCCTCCAGCTCAAACGGCTGATGAACTTCGATCCGGCGATCTCCAAACCTTCGTGGCTGCAGCGCCGCGAGTCTCGTCGTCTGACGACCCACCGGGTGTCCAAGTCCCCCCACTGATGCTCACGGCTGCTCAGCGTTGTGGTCAATGCCAGGCGGCCAGTCGGCAGAAGCTCAAACAGCTCATCCAACTGGAAGCCTGTGACACCCAAACTCAACACCACCAAGAGACAAAGAAAACACATCATATGTATATATATATATATATAGTGATAATTGCCTGCCGGCTGTTACAGGTAAGGGGACATACAGTTAGAGCCCTTGTCTATTGCCAAAAGGTCGCCGCTTGGCCTTGCTTGTTGGACCGGCCTTCCGTAGTAAATATCTTCACCAAATGAAGGCTGGCAGGCCGCTGAGGCTCTTTGTCCTGGCGAGATCCACAGCATTGGCTACTCCATGGCCACCTCTCACCAGAATTTGCTCACGATGTTCTACAGTGCACAGGATCTCTCTCTACACTATGTGAACATAAATATATATATATAAAATGTATATATATATATATATATGTGTGATGTATTATGTGATGTGTATGTAAATGTATATATATATATATGTGTGTGTACCTTTGAAACATTGAGCAAGCCTTGCCTCTATCCAAGATGCTGTCGCGGTGAACGAGCCGCCTAGTGCCTGCTCTCCGCTGAAGGAATGGCCAACTTGAAATCTGGTCGTCGTCTCCTGATGCAAAGATTTCACAGTCATCTCGTTCAGCAGATTGCTCGAGAGAGAGCAATCTCTCCCTCCTCCAGTTGGCGGCTGAGCATAGATGTCGTAGAGCAGATTTGCACCTCGTTTCCATCAATGTCCTTAGGCGCGCAACCAATCTGGCGCGCTAATGAAGTTAGGGTGGGTCTTGCAAATCAGTTCAGCAACAAACTCTTATCCAGCGGGTTATGTTTGGTTTTGGTTACTCCTCGATCCCACCGTGCTTGCTTGGATTCGATTTGCAGCGTTCGGCGCGCTGCGGAGGCCATCGATCGCATCATAGCAGGAACCTTCGGGCAAAATCAGCGACAAATAAAACATGACATCCACTCTATCCGATATTGCCTTTTATGATAAGGCTTGCCAATAATGATTTTCTATGATTTTCCCAAATATGTATAATGGTTCTATATTTATATATTTATATAAATAGTTCTGCCACAATATGAAATGGCTCTAGCCAAATTAGAAAATATATTATATATATATAGTTCTGCCAAACATGAGACATACTACCAAACCACAAAAAAATAGAGAGGCTAACGCAATGCCAAACGCAAAAGCCCGACATTTATGAAGTACAATCCAACATTTGATGAGTAGTCAGGTGTTGCCCACTTGAGTTCGCAGGTCCAGTCCACTGCCATTTGTCCACATTGACGCGAAGTGCATCAAACGCACTGAGCTTGGCTTTGCCTGCAAAGCTTCCAACAAGGACTCCAAGCCCTCCGTTTCATCGCCTCTGACACTGCAAGGATCGTCAAACGCATAAAAGTATGTTAAAGTGGTCAAGGCTTGGACTTCAAAGTCTGCCTCCTATGCTTTTCCAGAATTGGCCAAATGAAGTCAGTAGATCAGCCATCAAGTTTTCTGCACACTGTTTTTTTGATGGGACTGCTGTGGATGGTCGCATTCAATCAACAGATCCCCAATGAAACCATCTCACATCCCTGCCCCCTGCCACTTTGTTGAGGGCCCGTGCTCAGCCAAAAGCCGGCCATGCTTGGAATGTTGGGTGCCTCAGACACCCACTTACAAGGAGAGAACACCTTTCAATTGTTGGCATCTGTTGATGTGATGAGCACCATGCTGCTCATGCTCATTACAACATTTTTTTGACGCATTGCCAGTCGAGAAGCTCCACAAATCGCAGCACTCGCACCCGGGAGAAGCATGTCTAGAACTTCTGACAGCTTGGTCACTTTGGCCTCAACCTGCCATGACGAAATCGATCAACTCATCTTAACACCAAAAGCTCCAGCTGCCAGATCCTCTGCACCAAGGATTGCAACATCAGATCCTCTGCACCCCAGCCTTAGTGAGCTCCTGCTGCAAGTCATCAGCTCGCCTGTGAAAGCGAATGACAAGCCATCTGGAGTGGGTTTGGGCTTCACACCAAGAGAGGCTAAGTGACCTTAAAGGACAATAACTAGGACCATACTGGGTACGTATGGGATTAGGTTGCTTTCAGTGAAAAGAAAGTTGGAGGCCATCACTATTAGGTTCCTTGCCCTGCATTCACACAATCATTCATGTTGTTGTGTCTTGGGTTCTTCGACCTCTGCTGGCATGGTTCCACCAGCTTCGGCATCTCTTGCCCAATGGCCGGCCTGCCACCTTCAGCTCGAAGCATCGGCTCCCGCACCGGTGTGGCACTCGGTGCCGCGCCGCCCGCGCGTTTCGGTAGTGGAGGAGGTTCAGATGGCCATGCCGCCTGCAAAAGCTGCGGTTCGGAACGGAGACGGATGGCACGTAGAAAATGGGAAGGCGGGAAAACAATAAAAAGCAAAAAGAAAATCACACACGGCCTAAACAGTTGCAACCTTTCAAGCCTCTGGAAGCACAGTGGTTGATAAAAAAGTTGATACTCTGGCTGTTGGATTTTCTCGAAAAGCCACGACTATACAAGCCACGACTGCGGCTCTTGAGCACCTCGTAGCCCAGCTCTGTGCAAATGGCATCCAACAGGCTCCGACCGACGTGCCGCGTCTCCGGCGAGCATGACGAAAGGAGGATGGCCATCGTGACTTCGGGGAGCCGCAGAACTATGGAGCCTGCACAGCACGCATTGCCTTATAATGCCTCTAGTTGTTGCAGCTGTCTCCCATCTTGTCATAATTTCTCATACTTTGTCAATGCTTAATGAGTGGCACGTGGTCAATCGATCGTTGTTGGTCTCATGATTCTCACTGATGATGTCCGATGGTATCTATATATATAATTACATGTGTAGTTCCTTCACTGGTCCCCCAAAAAAAGGCGCCAAGTTTTTTGTTTAAGAAATGGATCTTTAAGCGCTTCTTCAAGGAAGCTTCCTTGAAGAAGCGTGAGCTATCCTGCGCCTGTTCGCTAGTAGCAGGTTACCATAGGTTACCTAGTGGGTTGTGTAGCCCTTACTTGTATAATTAACTAGCCCCTACTGATGGGCAATCTGGGCATCAAGAAAAGGTCCACGCTGAAACCAGGTGCTGTGGGGATCGGCCTGTGACGCCGTCGGCAAAGCCATAACCTTGCACCTCCGATGTCTTGGTCTTGAAGGGAAAGAGCTGCCAGCCACCCACCGCACGCTGTCGAGCTCCCAAAGAATCCCACCACTGCTGCCTGAAAGGCCGGTTCCGATGCCGGTTCCGGAATAGAGCCATCGCTCTGAGTGGAGAAAAAATTGCCCAATGGACATGATGCTAAGATTCTGCTGCGAGGTGCAGGGTTTGGAACTTGAGCTCTTTGCCAAGCTCCAAGCTTTTTTCAAGCATTTCTGCGGGCACAAGTCCTGAAGTGAACCTGGATTGTGCCAAAAGCAGCGAAGGGGCAGCACCACTAAAGCGAATCAAGTATTGAAAAAGCGAGACTTGTCGCCCTACATTCTCGTCCAACACAGTGCGTCCAGGCAAAGCCCTGCAACATCCTGCAACAAGTGAACCACACTGTACCCTGCAAAGCCCAAACAATCCAAACATTTTGCCAAGAGCTTTGAGGAACACCCGGCATAGGGTTTTGGCAGAAGCTCGCAACCCACGACCAGCAAGGCAGCCATGACCAACCATGAGCGCCTTGGTGCTAGGTTTCAACTTTCAACACCGAAGGCTGGACAAGGTTGAGCATGTTTACCGTACTCTATCCCATGAGACCATGAGAAGAACCCTACAAGGACACATCCATTCCGAACCTGCAGAAATGAAGAAACTGTTGTTTCTGCCGTTCATGGAGCCAAACTCTCACCAACTAGGTCCACCACCCATACCGGGCTGTGGTGCGAAAATGACAATTCTGATCACCACCATGATTGGGATGCACGTAATTAGCTTGGGGAAGATTTGTTCAGCGTTTTCAAGGGTTGAATGGCATAATGACATCGGGAAATAAATTTCCTGTGCACTTCCCAGTAGACTTGACACTTCAACATTCAAATGAAGTTGCCCACAACTCAAGTTCTTAGGGTTGGTTATGTAATCCATTGTTTATCTGGGGTCTATTAGCCCACAAGCTCCTTTCAAACTTCTGCTTTCAGGCTACGTGTGCTTTCATCAATGTTCTCAAAGCTGAGTAGAACTCTTTTGGAGTTGCAGGCATCACAGACTGTTGCAAAACAAACTGAAAAATTATGTCTTTCAATGCTGGGTCAAACTTTTGTGACCTTTGACCTTCACACTGACGGGAAAGTGGTGTCCCACGAATCGTTTCAATTCTAGCCATGAAGAAACAAGGCACATCCCCTGACACATACGCAGGAGAACAAAAAACACATTTCACGAGACAACTAGAAAAGTTGAATGACATTGAAGGACCCTTTTGTAAGTACTTTTCCGGGGAACGCACCGTGATTAAGAACATATCCTGCCTCCACAACGGACGTGATTATCCCAGCCCCCCCCCCCCCCCCCCCCAGAACCCATGTTTATGACACAATTTTGATGACATGCCTGAAACACCACGGCCCGTCATGGGCGGTGTTCCAACTAATTACTCCGGGACCTCCTCCACGGACCTCCTCCACCTCTTCCCCTACCGTTTCATGAGTCTATATCTTGCCGTCTCGGGAATTGTTTGGAAGTTCGCATAAGAACCGTTTCTAGGCTATGGCCTGCCACCTGTGGCCAAAGATATGCACAAATTTACTCCAATTCAATGCTGGGACAATGCGAGACCCAGAAGAACAAGAGCAAGCCTGCAAGCCTTCTTCATAAATCTCGACCCTGTTCAACCGCTAGAGCTTTGGAGCTGTCGAGTCGAGCCACTTGTCGATTTACAATCAATGGATCAGCAATCCAAGGCTTTTCAACCTGGGTCGAGATTTGTCGAATGCCCGACCGAAGAATGCTAGTCTTCAGTGAGGGGCCGACAACCTTTCACTGGTCCAAGTGGCTGCGAGCTCAGTTTCTGAGAGCCACCGACGCCGATTCGCGTTGCTGCTTTGTGTCATCGAATCAAGACCTCAAACAGAATCTCAACAGTTGCTCCAAAGGACACCAAGTGCTAACATCTGCGTGCAAGTGCTCAGGACTTCATCTAATTAGAAAGATAAATGCATATCAGGCCGGGAGCTTTCAACTTTCTCTTCCAACCATTCATAGATGCTTTGCATTGTTACGCGTTCCTGCCAAAAAGCGAGTTCGGACATGTCGTATCGAAAGACAATTGGCATGGCCGACACAAAACAATGTTCTCAACATTGATCAACATTGTAACATTTGTTTCTTGAATTATTTTGAGATACTGAATCTCTATTGAATCATCTCTATATCTCAAGGTCTTGAATCATCTGGAATCTGAGGGAGAATCCAAGACCACGTCCTGTGGCCGCCGCCCGGCGAGCGCGGTGTGATTTGCCCGATAGGTCACATCTGGAGCCACTGGCCTCACTATCAAGAGCTATCAAGTCTGCCACACCTGGCGTGATATGCCACCTGGCTCTTATGCAAAGATCCCGTTTGAGCATTGTAAAACATATTTTAATACGGATTTGCTCTCAGAAATGATCAGTGCCAAAGCTGCTCCAGCATCTGAGAGATGGCTTCCTGCGCAGTCTTGCGCCCAACCAGTCGCTTCAGTAGCGCTGCAAGGAGTTCACCCCAAACCTCAAGCTTGGCACCCGAGGAGCTTGGTCAAATAAGACGTGACAATGACGACATGAAAAGTAAAAGCACAAAGCAGTTCGCCCTGGAACAAAACAGTTCGGTCAACCAATTCTAGCCGCTAGCCTTGAGGTCAGCGGTCAGCATCCGAAATGCACACTGCACACTTTTTCAAGTCGCTGGTTTGTGATTTTGAAGCAGTGGCACACGTTGCAACCACCAAGCGGAAACACCGAGCCCTTGATTACCCATTTCTGCTGACCGGCAGCAGGACAAAGACCTTCTTCTAGGCATGAAGGAGAAGCTGCAATATGTTCCTCCAATCGCGTCTCGTTGCAAAATCCCTTGATGGTCATCTCACCTGGTCTGGCCATTCTACTGCATGGGCCCACTAGCAGTCACTGGCACAACTCATAACTTCTCCGCTTGTTATTCTGTTTCTCACTTTGGGACTGGTTCATTGCCCTTCATGCGCAAAGTTCAAACATTGCTTGCTTGATAGCTTGTGCATGCGAAGGCTCTGGGGAATGGCTTTGCCAATCCAGCCTGCACAGCCCGTTTCAGGGTAAGAAATGTGGTCGCTGAGGGCATACGCTTCCCATGCTTCTTGCTTGCTACGATCCCCAGAATCTTCTTCAAGAATCTCCGCAGAAATATGTATGCAAAATTCCGTTCATATCCAGGTGCCTTGCACTGAGGCTGCTTGTTAAGACAATACTTTTGTAGGGTTGCTGTGCTTGCCTTGTGTTGCAACACGTCACCAATCGAAGCATTCTTCCCCTTCTGGAAGAAATCGGGCCATATCTCCCCCAAAGAAGTCTCCAGTGACATTTGCTTGCCTCGAAGTACGGACCAAAGCCGTCAAGGCCGCTCGATGCTTCCAAAGAAAGAAAAAGAGGCCTTGCACAGTTGGCTGGGAGATCGCTCGCAAAAGGCAGTGCAGCAACGGCCCAGCACTCAGGCTCATCAAGGGCATCACCTTTCAAAACATCTCAGCAACACCTCACTCGAATTGTACTTATGAAAGATCTCTCTCAATCATGCGAAGCAGAACAGCCCTCTTGAGTTTCCAAGTAGCTGTTTGGTCTGAGATTGGTATGCCCTGAGCTGGCCCAATCCGACCACAGGCCACATTGCAAAGGAAGTCACCACGAGATCCCAAGCGACGATCCCAAGCAGCCACCTAGCGCAAAATGGACATCACAAGGCTCCAAGCAGCTCACACCGGAACGTATGCATGCCACAGCCACATCATACCAGCATCAAAAAAAATCACGGCAACTCCCCATGCAACACAAGTGTTTTTCCATGTTTTTCCCACATACGAGTATATAGTAGGCACTGCTTGGAGTCTACCTTGCACAGTAGGTCTCTCTTGCGCATATCACATGAGTGGTACTTGGAGATGCTCCACAATTTGTTGACACTCCCAGTGTATCTCCCACACATGTCGTGCTGCGTGAAAACCCACCTGAGCTCCCAGCACCAATCCCATGCTGTCCAATTCATGAAGCTTGGCACGGACCTTCTGTTCCACAACACTTTGTCCTGAAGTGGCCAAGCGGGAGTGTGTCAAGTCATCCAAGGTCACCCATTCAAACAGTATGAGGAACAAATGGGCAAACTGTAAACAATTAGGATTATATATATATAATTAGGTATCAAAGTGGATAAAAGTAGTAGGTCGGTCCCTATGCAAGCGACAGAAGCTGGGCCTGGCGGTCCAGGAAGTGCAGCTGCTGGGTCCCACAAGCCTCTGCTGACCAGGAGTGGCATGCAGTTCTCCAGCATGATACTGGCAAATGGCACTGTCACCTTGCAGGAATAGAAAAAGAAAGATCGATGGACATCTGATTCAAACAAAGTCTGCAAAATGCCGAAGACACATCGTTCGCACACAAATGGCAACTCATATTGTAGTCTTACGGGCTTGAACAGAATCCCATACAAGTTGAAAGGCCCATGAAAGACGGCAACATGTTCACACACCAGGAGGGTCTCCACCAAGAATCTTACAGTATATAGCACTTTTTTCAACTTTGTCCGACTCCTATAAACACATCTGAATACCATGCAGCTCTGCATATCTCTATCCTCACATGCTGCCCGCCAAACGCCTCCAACATGCCACAAATGTTCTGGAGCATCTCAAGGCCACGAAGAAAAAACAACACAACTCCAGGAATCTTCCCAACTAGTCTGCTTTGCTCTTTGCCCACTTTGGTCTCTTGATTCTCTTCACGTTCTTGGTGCTCTTGCATCTGCTGAAGGAAGTTCATCTGCGAGCTGCTTGGGATAGAATCTCGAAACATAAAGGCACATTGGCTCATGGAAGCTTCAATAAAGGTCGCAAATTCTGTCATGTCAGGATCCGCGTCGAACTCAAAGCCGAGCTCCAGCAAGCTCGAGACGTAGAGCTGACGATCTTGCGACAAAGTGCTGACAATCCATTTGGCTGTCGCATAGCGCTCATCTTGATCGATGTGCTTGACAATTCCTTGGAACACGTGATAGCACGTGTCAAGCACCCAAGCAAAGCAATCTGCCCACTGCAACACACACCACATCACCCAAACATATTAACTGTAGCCAGAAATCCCCAATCCAGCAAAACAGGCCGAACCTTTGTTCCATTAGAGCTGCCTGGAACAGGCTCCACGAATACATTGCCTGGCACACAATTTGAAACGGCTGACAAGGGTACGGCATTGAAAACTGGCAGAAGTACTGCACAGAGCAGTGGAAATGCCTGGATGTGGGTCTCCATGAATCAGGCCCTCTTGAAACACCAGCAAGGCAAAGGCATGGACCAAATCTCGTGCTAGTGTCTCACGGTCTGCTCCATATGGCATGCGATCAAGGTCTGTGATCTTCCATCCCTCAATGAAGACCATTGTTAAAACCCGCTGTGAGCAGCAACTTTGAATTGGCTCTGGGCAAGTCACATCTACGTTGTGACGGCGCAAGGCATTTAGCGCTTGCAAAGCATTCTTAGCCTCCAGTAGAAAATCCACCTCCTCCCGTGATGCACGCCGCCATTCTCGGATAACATCCTGAGCACACTCTCGAACCAACATGTGGAATGACAGATTCACCGAAGGCGTCCAAATTTCACGGAGTTGCCTTTATTCTTATATAGTTTATAGATCTTATTAGCATCAGCATGCCAGTTGCTGCAAGGCGTCAGTAAAATCTGGAGCATCTGGGTGTCGCTTTAGCATCTGTCTTGCGCAAAACTCAATGGTGGCAAGGTCAGTTTTCATCAAGCTACCAACTCCATGGTGCTGCACCTTGACGCAAACCTGTCGCACGCGAATGCTGTGGATCAATCCAGTAGGCGAGCCGTGCGCTGCACCCAGAATCATTCAAATGAACACTGCTGTGAACAAGTCACTTTACTCACAACCCTTCTTGAGCAGGCGAGAAATTAAACATAAACGAATATCAAGGGGTCCGTGGTCCACAAATGCTACTGTGAGCAGTCCACTGGCAGGAATAGTCACTTGCGCCTTCTGGCCAGTCTTCCGCAGCCATGCAAGGTGTGCCTGCAACTGGTACGAGTAGAAGATTAGTTTTTGCACAAGTCTATCTCGACTTACTTCCACCATGTTTGCACGTGCTGAAGAGCTTCGACATGGGTCAACTACATGGTTCACAGTACTCTGCTCATCGCATTAATGACATCTCCCCAATTCCCTGCCCTCTTCGTCCTGACCGACACTTGCTGAGGCAATTGGCCGCTGCCCAAAGTCGCGGAAAATGTCCTCCAGCGGTCTCCCCAAATCAGCTTTGATTGTGCGCACAACATCCTGGCTGTCAGGCAATGCCGATCACAGGAAAGATAGGACCTGTCTGATGCGCACCTTCACTCCCAACAAGAAGCCAGAAAAGGCACAACTCGAAGCTGCGAGAAATGGTGAAGAAGCAACAAACTGACCGCAGGAATTCTCGCAGGATCGACTCAAATGCTCGTTTTCCCCTCCCCCAAACTGCCTAAGAAACGTCCTGAAAGTTGGAGATTGGGAGCTCGTCCTGCAAGCCTCGAAGCTCTTCGACCCATGGCGCTGGCAAGCTCCCAGCTTTGGTGGATGCTGCCTGGCCTGTCGGGGTCGTCGTCAAGTTGTCAGCCATCACATCGCTAAGCCATGAAAGCTTGGCAAAGGTACTAACACCATCTAACACCCGTTCTGTGGAAAGGGGGCAAGCAAGTGCAGTTACTAATCTCTCCTCTCCGTGGGGACTTGCACATGGCACGCATAAACAAGCTTCTAGTGCAGGGAAGTCGCCAAATTTTGTGAGTAAGCCGCGGTACTTCAAAATATGTTGATGAACCATCTTGGCATTTTTCCGGTGCAATTCATTCCAGCGTCTTTCAACAATTTCCTTGTCCAAGTCTGTCCGTGAGGCAAGCTCGTGCTCCTTAGCATGCGACAGGGTCACCAACCGAAGACCAAGGTAGAAAATCGTCGCAATATGGCTATTCTCCGTCCATTTTTCACGCTTTCCGAATTTGGTTGCATAGTTCGTTTGAGTTGCGTGAGCGGCTATGTTGGCCAAGGCTCGAGCTTCTTGACAGATCTGCTGATGTTGTAGGCAAGTCTGACAGTTGCCCCAGAGCGCGCGAGGAGTGAAACTTTGCCAGTCTTGGCCTTCCATTCAGTCTCCATCATGCACTGATCATGCACTGTCTTGGTTCTTCATCTCGCTAACGCCATGCGCGTCATGTGCATCGCTCAGGCTCTGTGTAGCACCATGGCTCCACACTGAACGATCGAACTGATTGTGCAAAGCAACCACTAACCCGGCTAGACTTCTCAGAGATCTCTAGACTCTAGACCTGTGCTAAGGGCACATCTGGCATCTGCTGCGGTAATGTCAAAGCTGTGGGATTGCCACATTCATCCAAAGAACAACCTAACTTGCACTTTTGTACCATGTTGCTTGAATCGCCACATGCTCAAGGCACTTGAATCTGAACTTTGGAGGCTTATGGGAGCAATCGCCGTAAGAAACTAGATCCTGACTGTGCCTTGCAAGGCTTCAATAAAAACTACATATATAACTCGTATGTCACATGACATAGCCCCCGGCGAGTTCCCATCCCAGTACTACCAAACAGTGCCAGGATGGCGCGGTCATACTCAACCTTGCTGAAGCCCTCTCTTTCGTTGATCACTGCCAGGAGCCTACAGAACTCCTCTAGGTTCATGTCCTGAAGCGAACGACACTGCTGCCCATTTTCCGCCATATCATCGTCATGTAAGATACTGTGAGTTTTTGTTGATCTTTCATGATCTTTCCAATTTTTTGAGCCATGGTCATCAAGGCGGGGACGCCCGAATGATCCACATCAAACTCCTCACTGAGCTCGTTGATCACCTGGGCTGGGCTCGCGGCTCACGCAAGCGCTGGGCCGCGCTCGCCAAGCAGCGGCCCGCGGGCGTTGCAAGCCGAGCTGCGTGATCCATTGGAGTTATACCGATGCTCAAGAGAAGCTCGGACAACTCGCCAGCCTGAGGTGCACCAGCCGATGTGCCGGCCAATTGGACGTGCCAGTGATTGGCCTCGATGGTTCCAGAACCATCCTTATCCAGCTGATAGAAGGCACTCTCATACTCTTTGCTCTGCAAATCCATATATGCATGGACCTCAGCTTGACTCACTTTCAGCCGTTGAACCTCGACACCAAACAGGGTCCTTGAGAGCCACGAGTCTAAGACCGGTGCAAAATTCATGTATTCATCCAAGCTCAGCGTAGTATACCTTGTGAAAAACATCCAACCCGAGTGACCCGGCCGTTTCGGATCTCTGGGATTGGGGATCTCGGCTCTCGGATGGCGCTTGATGGATTCTTTTGGGATGGCGCCTGGTGACCGACAACAGGATCTTTTCAATCCAAGGCTGCTTGATGTGACGAATGCCTCAGGCGCGGCCAGGTGAAACTGTAGTTTCATATAGTGCCCTTGTTTCTAGCAGCCTTACCGGTGATACTAGTAGCTTCCAGCTACTAGTAGCAATGCACTTGTTCCTAGTAGCGATGCATGTTCCTAGTAGTCCAAATATCTAGAATCTGTTTTTCATATAGCACCCTGCTGGCTCAATCGAGATTAAGCATTTGTTGTCTGAACACCTGAACCTGCACAGCGTCACAATGAGTCACGCCAATGCTTCGGCTCTTTAAGGTCCAAAACGTACAAACTTGCAATGAAACGAATAAAATAGTATCATTACATTACAATTCCCTACATCTTCAGGCCATTTCAGGCCATGTTTGACCGCTCGGTTGAACTCCCGCGCCTAGAAGCTCCAAAGACTGCGACAAAACATCTTTATGCACCTGGATTTCAGCAAGGCACTGCACTCAGCTCTCTGAAGCTAAAAGGCCAAGCTCGACACTTATTAAAGTTTAAAGGAATCGTCACGCCATTCATACGAAGCTTGTCTGTGCAATCGCGCCTCCCCATCGTCTGCAAGCCTGTGAAACACCTGACCCAGCCGCACTCCAGCCCATATGCAGGCGAATCCACGTCAGAAGACTCGAGAATTTTTCTGATACTAACGGGCTCCGGGGCACGGGATGAGTATGAGCATGCATGAGCGGAGATTATCCCTGGACATCCCGCGACTCTTCTTGACGAGGCCTCTAAGTAAGCTAGGTGAAACTAAATGTGGCCACCTTGTGGAGCATCTCTTTCTTGGGCATCATGCCAACTGTCGGCAGGAAATCGCTGGCTTCAGAGAAATCCAGGCCTCAAACTCGTCTTGTCAGGCACGTTTCAACGTCCAACTGCGACTGGGCCGTCATTTTGGTGCAAACAAGTCGCCAGACACTGAAGTTCCTTCAGTGCCTCTCAGGGTAGCTGGGTAGATGGAGATAGATATAGATAGGTAGACAAATAGATAGATAGATAGATAGATAGAGAGATAGACAGCCAGACAGGTAGATAGATAGATAGATAGGTAGGTAGATAGATAGATAGATAGGTAGGTATAGGTATAGGTATAGGTATAGGTATAGATATAGATAGATATAAATACAGGTAGACATAGAGATAAAGATAGAGATAGGAACTTTAGATAGACAGATAGATAGATAGATAGATAGACAAACAGACAGACACATAGATAGATATAGATAGATCGGTCGATAGATAGATAGGTATAGGTATAGATATAGATATAGGATGATATAGGTAGATATAGAGATAGAGATAGAGACTATAGATGGAGGCTATAGATAGATAGGTGACACTGATTGGCCACTTTTTTCGCATCCTAGCACCAGAACATGCCTCCTCCGACTGAGGGCTCTCTCATCGACATTTGGTTGAAAACCGTGGAGGCACCTCTGGAACATGGGGATCATGTTGTGTGTCTGCTGTTTCTCCCACATCCTTCTCATGTGCATTGATTCTGGCAGGAGCATGGAAGAACTGTAAAATGGCACCAGGTGTCATAGCGCCACGAGGGGTGTCAAATGGAAGCGTTCGCACAGGCTGCACCTGTTTGCGAGGCAAAGTGTGACAGTTTCAATCATTGCTCAGAAAGTGCTGTGGATAAACATGGATAAACCATCTCTGGGCATCTCTCCTTTGGCTCGGATTGAGAGGCTAAGGACATTTTCTTGCCAATCGTGCCTTGCAAAACTAGGAACTGAACTCTCTGCCAAATGAGTTTAACATACATAATGTTTGTTCAAACTGTTTAACTCTCACAACGCATCGAGTGAGAGCCAAGCCCGTAAGGTCAAGACCACCGCCTGACCACAGCGGACAAGTTGGAACATGAAGCTGTCGAAACGACCTGGTTGCACCTCTGATTGATGCGTGAAAATCACCCACTCTCCAGCTAAGCCCCACACCCTTGTCAATCGGGAGAAGGAGAGAGCCACGCCTTCCCTCGATATGTTTTCGAATACGAAGCAAACCCGTCACAAAAGTGCTTGGGTAGCCAGGGCATTCACCACCGCAGTTGTTTCCGCAGATTTTGCCGTATCAACGGGCCTGGCAAGGGACCAGCATCTACATCTACACAAAGTAAGCAACCAAGTCTGGGATGGACTGAATGCATCCCTAATACCGTAACAAAACATTACATCAGCGATAACCAACCTCACATCCTCATCTTCGGCGCACGCAGAAGCCTTCGAAGCTTCACGGGTCACTGGGCCTGCAAAGGCACACTCAGCTATACAGGGAAAAGAGTTGGAAAACAAAACGGATTGGTTCACATCTTTGCGGGGTAATGAATCCAATGATAGACAAGTCTGGGTCTAGGCCTCTATAAACGTGTGTTTTGATAATTAAGTATAAATATACTTAGCGTTGATATGACTTTCAACGCAAGGCCAATGCCTCCAAGAGCTATCTCAATCTGGCGAATCTCCTCTTCCAAGTCCCGTTCTTTTCGCTCTTTTCGTTTTGTCAAAGGTGGTGGCGCCGGTGCATAAGTCTTTGGGAAGGTGAATTTGGCGTCGCTACCTGCGGAAAATCGAAGGCAACAGCCCAAAAAGGATCAGTTCAAGCATTCATTCAGAGTAAAAACCGCACAGGTTTCATGTTGACCTGCTCAAAAGCGGGTGTTTGAGAGTCCATGTATCGAGACTCTCATCCAGGATGCCCGGATTTGCACAGACCTGACTTGTACAACCTGTCTTCCACAGCCACGGCTTTTGGTGATTCCATACGGTCCAGGGTTTTCCAAACTTTGGTCAGCCACAAGTTGTTGGAGAGCCGTCCAAATCCAAAGCCAGAGAAGCCACAACATGCCACAACCAGCATACTGTTGATTTGGCCCGTGCGAGCACACTGCTACAAATGAATGAAAGCGTGCAACACGGAACGTCAAGTCCCACCTTCACCAAAAAGTGGTCGGCATGCCATGCGTGCACGGAGCCGGCTCTTTTGGTAGGCGATGAGCCAGTTGTGCATCAGTGTTGTCCGACACTGTGAGTGTGCACTTTTTGAAGTGTCAGCTGCTCGTTTATCCAAAAAGTCCTGTTGCTGAAACAGTACGCTGCCCATGGCTTTGCTGTATTCTGTTGACAGCATCTGGCTGAAACCCTGTGACTGCCTCTCTCTGAAGGCAGGCGCTGATTGTGGTCTGCGGGCCTCCTGAGAGTAGAGTGGGGCATGCATTGGAGGGGCAGAAGCAGGCCTTTGTGCAGGCCTTTGCTTCACATGGCCAGGGGGTGTTGATGCTGGTCGTGCAGAGGCTGGTCTCCGTGCTGAGGCTGCTCGTCGTGCTGAAGCTGGTCGTGCTGAGGCGGGTCTGGCTGAGGCTGGTCTGGCTGGCCGTGCTGAGGCTGGCCGTGCTGAAGCTGGCCGTGCTGAGGCTGGCCGTGCTGACGCTGGCCGTGCTGATGCAGGCTGCGCAGGATCGGGCTGTGCTGATGCTGGTCGGGCTGATCCCGATCGGACAGAAGATGCCGCAGACGAAGGCCGGAGAGGGGTCGCCCTGGCAGATCCAGGCCTGTAGGCGGTTGTTAGTGCAGCCCTTGCTGACGATGGCCGCTGGTTTGGGTGTGAATTCTGGTGCGGGACCTCTTTCGCATACTGCGCTGAATGAGGCCGCTCCAATGACACTCTCCGTGGACCATATGGCCATGCTGTATTTCCAAACTCGCCTGCAGATGCTCGAAACAGGCTCCCACATGATAAGTCTGTCTGTATGCATGCAACTATAAAAATAGAAATGCGAGCTCGCTTGACTTGCCAACCCTGCCAGTCCAACTGTTCAGACCTGCAGGTTTTTGACATGTTCCTGATACATCTAATTCTAGAAGGGATAAGAAAGGATGATGCGCAATGTTAGAAAGGTATGCTCAATTATTCATGTTACAAGTCTTCAGGGCGAAGTCTAATCCAGCTGATTTGTGTTTATGTTTTTCGTCTACATTGTATGGGCGATGTTATAAGACCATGGGCTCGAAGATTCTTAGGAATCAGTGGGCGCCTTGAATCAATACACATCACCGAAATTCCCGGGAAGTGTGGTTTCTCCCATTATATAATAACTTTCATGGAAGCAAGAGGGGCCACCCTCAGTCAATTCATCTTTTCTCACACAAATGGATGCAGGGGCAGGTGCACAATAACAATCAATAACATCACCCAAAAAACAAAAACGATTGTAAACTTGTACACGAGACTTTAAGTGCGTGTCCTTCCCCAAATGTAAATACAACTCAGTAATGAATGAGGGAACTTCTGTCAGAAGAGGTTGGTGCACGTGTAGCTCTGTATAGGAATGTATATAGTAATGATCTAGAAAATGCTCATCTGTCGGCCTCTCACCCTGCCATGGGGTGCAATTGGTCGTTGTCGACTTGGCCGAGTGCCTGTCGCTGCAGGTCTTCTTTGCATTTCTTTGCTATGCCACACCCTACTACGCTTGTACCGTCTCACTCTACAAGAACCTGTCTGTGCACAACTTCCTGCTCACTACTCGTACCATCTCATATCTCATTGCGGTTTGGCCGACAAATGCCAGTGCAGGCCACGTCAATCTTCAAGGTGTTCCCTATCATTGCGGTGCGAAGTATGACTTCGAGTGGCCTGCGGCAATCGGTCGCCATCCAGGCTTAGCAGAGCTCCAGGGCCCCTCTTCCGGTCCATCTTCGTCTACTTCAGGAACTTCCTCGTAACGGTGCGTAGCATGGGTGGCACACGCACAAGGGAGAAACTTAAAGGGGATGCAAGAAGCGACAAGCAAGTAAAGCTGACTGATGGGGTGCCTCTCTCTGTAACCATTGAACACACAAACCGCAAGACCTTATTATTAGATTTTGGGGGCCCTCCCATGAAAACATCCAATCGCCTCTTCAAGTTCTTCCAAGGTCCCCTGGACATCCAGGCACCGGCGCGGCTCCTGAGAGGCTTCACGGGCACATGCTCACTCAGTGCCCACCTGCCCACACCTACTATATAAGAAGAAAACACACACCAGCCCAAACCCAAGTCACATCCGTGGGGCTGTTGACTGGAAAAAAACTATATGACTACATGTGAGCCGATGCAAGCGTGCGAAACACGAGATATATACCCAGTGCCACCTGCAGTTCCTGCCGAGCACCTCTTTGCAATATTAAATAAACGCCACCCGGGGCTGGGCGGCAACCTTAGGGTTCACGCGGATGGTGAGCATGTATCATCCGTAATTGTTTTCAATTTTAGACCTGCCAAAAGGGCCGCAATATCTAAGGTTCATGCTTACAAATTTGTCTGCAGGAGGAATATCTGGCATTCGCGCACCTTCTGATACGAAGATTTCATACCTGGCAGCATTGTCTTCAGAAACCGACCCAACGCACCAAATACAAAAACTGCAAACACATTGCTGATTCAGGGCGGGGCTCTGCATCCGAAACTTTGCCGGTTGCAGGTTCGTGGTCGGTTGCCAGTGTTGATCGTTGGCACCTGCCCACTGCGTGAACAATGTGTCTCACTTGCACAGCTGCAGCTTTAAGGCCAGTACCCGTCCACGTCTGAACTCGTCGTATCGGAACCAATGTCCTCAAAAACCAACAGAAAGTGACACCCGGCCACAAACCCGTTTGACCGTCCATTTTTCCAAACCAAGTTGCAGTGTGCCGACTCACTCTTGGACGGGATGGTTTGCATTTTGTATTGGGGGGCTGCTTGGCACCCATCATCCTGCCACATTAAATGTAACCTGACAACAAACGCAAATCCGTGTTGGATGCCTTGCCCGGGCATTGGACGACCCCTTTGATCTGATGTCCCGCCGGCCTGCCGCAAACAACGGATCTTATTAAAAATGAAACCATGATAAACAATGTGAGTTGTCTCAACTTCATGAATGCTAAAGTGACCTGGTGGCAACGGCACGAATCGACGCATTGTGCACAGTCACCTGCCACCAAAAATTCCCCTGCAAAGTCAAACCGGTGATTGGACCTCTCAAGGACTGGCAAAAAAACCGAGGACCAAACAGAATCGTTCATCGAACCAACATTGCCTACATCTCTGTTTGTTTTCTCTCCGGTTCTTTTCGCGTCTCTGTTTTTGCTTGTTTGTTTGGCAAGTGAGTGGGGTTGTAAAAAATTCAAACCCTTGCGTGTTGTCTTGCGTTTTTGTTAGCAAAACCGGTCAACTTGAAACAGTGTTGCCATTGTTTAAAGATCTTTGCCCCACCTGGATTTTTGAGCCAACACGCACAACAAATGTCCGGGGAAGCTCATCCGGCTGAGAAAGGACGTGGAAAAATTGTTCGAGTCAAGCCGCGCGCTCGCAACATATTTTTTTGGGGGGGGTTTTATTGATGTAACGTCATGCGCGGCTGCTTGCAGTTGATCCGTTTTCAAGTTGCCGAACAAAATTATCATTCGTGGGAACTATAAAAAATACAGGCGCGCCGCGAGTGCCAGGGTCATTGCCGGTTTGTGGGGTTCATGCGCATACTTTCTTCATCTTGTTATCAGGGGATCATTTGATGAAGCTCTTCTTGGTACCAGCGTGGGGTTCCAAATGCCCTCGGTACCAGAGGTCCAACGCAACTACGACCTGCCACCCTTCTTCCGCCGAAGGATCAAGGATTGAATCGGGGGCGGCTGGGGGGTGCAAGCGCCAGCGACACAAGGAGTGGGCGGAAGGTCGCGGCTTGGTGTGACATCAGGTCGGGCTCGTGCTTTGACATATCATCATCTCTCAAAAAGACCGGGGAACATTCTGGACTGTGTTTTGACATCTTTGTTGGCGTGTGTTCTGAGATCCGACATGTGCTGTGACACAGGGACCAACTTGTTCTGACATTTATTTGTTCTGCCACCCAAACAAAGAATCCATCGGGCAAAATTGTTGGCATTCTATCTGGTATACATGTTGGTGTTCTATTCTATCTAGGATGCAATTTCATACCGTACAATCAATCCAGCTTGCAGCATCGCGCACGGCGTGCTTCCGCGCCCCTACACACCACCTACTTTCGAGCGTGCTTTCTCAGGCCAGCCCCCTGGAACCTCTTTCTTACTCAGCTGGCGCCATGCCAGGTATAGATACCCAGGGTTGCTACAATTCAGTTACCATGTACTTCAAGTTCCTTTTCCGTCAAACGCTCGATAACCTTTACACACGCACGTTGTGGCCTCATTCGTGCTTCGAACTTATATAGGTGTGTAAGCGGTATAGAACATAGCATTTATACGGACCCTGGGTAGCTACAGTTCTGTTTCCAGCTGTCGCACTTTAATTTCCCTACCTTGGGTCCGCGCGCGCTCCCGGCTGCCCTAGGTATACCCAGGGTAGCTACCATTCAGTTGCCAAGTATAGCACTTCAAGCAACCCAAGACAATTGCATTTCTTAACATCAAAAAACACACCTCCAAAACCTTGCTTCCGTGCACCCCTACACATCACCTACTTTCGAGTGCGCTTTCTCGGCTGGCGCCTTGCCCAGGGTAGCTACAATTCAGTTACCATGTGTTACATAGGTGTGTAAGAGGTATAGCAACATAGCATTTATACGGACCCAGGGCATCGACAATCCTGTTCCCAGGCGCGGGCCCAGGGTAGGAATTTGAAGTGCGATACCTGGCCACGGAATTGTAGCTACCCTGCGTCCGTATAAATGCTATGTTGCTATACCTCCTGCACACCTACATAGGTTCAAAGCACAGATGAGCCTTCAAAGCTGTGGATTGCTGGGTTATCGAGCGGTTGACGGAAAGGGAACTTGAAGTACTATACCTGGTAACTGAAATGTAGCGACCCTGGGTATCTATACCTGGCAAGGCGCCAGCCACACCCTACCAATGAGATGATGCAAATGATGCAAATTGCATTTCTTGCATCACCACCCCCTCAAAAATTACAACAATTAAACCTCAAAAACCTTCCTTCTGTGGACCCCTTTTCTCCACTCAGTTTCGGTTGTGTACGCGGTACGTTTGCGGGCCACCCCCCCCGACCCCCTACTTCCTCACTTCGTTCGCCAAACACAACTCAACTGGCCTTCTACGAAGGCTTGCTTTCGTACCAGGAAACACTGCACCCACAAAAATGGAAGTCGCATGAAGTCGCTCAACCACAGGATGGCCGTGTTTCCCTTCAGATGTCTTCAAAAAGGAACTAAAGTGGCAAACGCATTGAACAAAAGTAATATTGACCCGCCGTTCTTGGAGGTCAGGAGCAGCGTCGAAAAATATTACCATGCAATGCCATGCAAGTTTCTTTTGGGCCCAAAGAACTTGAAAGACTGTAGGGGCACCCGTCTTTGACATAATAAGTCCTTGGTTTTTTGGCGCGGCTTGGCCGGCCACGCGTTTCCGACCAGCAACAATGTCAGAGTTAGGAAGGCACTGCGCAAACCAATGGCTGCATCGATTGTGCTAGGGCAATGACAGTTGCTTCGGCAACTCTGACTAATGATGTCTTTGCTCTGCATTCGGCAATGATGTAGCGATAGCCCCACAACAAGCCGGATTTGCAGCGGCAAAAACTCTATGACCCCGCCCACGCCCACAATTATATCGCAAGTCACTTTGGTGAAAGAGTTTTGCGCCTGGAATGATGATAGTTGGGATCGCGCCGGGCACTTCAGCAAAAAACACGATATTTGATGCAAACAAGCCCTTATAGCGACATAATATTCATTCTGCAAACGAGCGAGGCGACGTTGGATTGGGCAGCTGGGTCCTGTTGGATTGGGCAGCAGGGTCCTGAAGGAGGAGGTTGGCCCAAAGGGCAGTGGGGCTGCATGAGCGAGGACAGCAGGCCAAGGGCGGCACGGACTGACCGGGAACAGCCCGAACTAGGCCCTTTACTTGTTGCATATCGGCTGAGAAACCGCATTTGTTTTTATTTTTTTCCGCGCGCGCCTTTTTGACCGCAGACAGTCTTGGGAACCACTGTTATAGTGGCCAATCTTCCAGGGGAACTTAACAGGGTATATTTTTTCTTGAATGTTAAAGCCAACCTATTGGCAAACAGCAGCAGCAGCAGCAGCAACAGCAGCAGCAGCAACAATGTACATGGCCACTCCGACTGTCAACTCGCCCCCCTTGCGACTTGCGAACCAATGAGATGCAATTCATCTCGCCGGACAAATCATCGATTTCGACCTCTCCACTATGAAATGCCTTTACCAAACCACGGTTCACAAGTCAATAATGTCGACTACCTTCAACATGTTTGTCCAATATTTATGAGGTGATTCCAGTCACATGGAAGTCATGGGGAATATATGTTGTTTTACCTTCCGTTCTCTTTGCTACTGCGTTTCTTTGATCGTGTGATTACTCCTGTTGCTACGTTCGGTGCTGGCCATCTCATGCCACATGGATGTCGTGTCTCGAAAATTGCTACGTATGGTGGTGGTTCCTCCTGGAAATTTGGATTGGTCATGCCCTCGGCACGAAGCCTCGCACCATTGGAATGAAAAAATTAAAAGAATGGGCGTAAAAGCATGGTCACGCCCCCGCCGAACGATGGGCCAAACGAACTTTGCTGTGGGAATATTGAGTAGCCCCTTCTGTCAAATCCCTCCGGAATAATTGTGAAAATACTCCATGTTATTCTGACTACCCTCGAAATGGTTTTCTGAAAACGATTCCAGGTATAATTAATGAGTTATTGCCACAGAACCCCCTGCGATGCCGCGTGCGATCATGTGTTATTTTTACTATTTTTTACCTGTCTCTTCGGTCTCTCTTTTGCAAGGTGAATTCAGCTCAGCATGTTTCCTGGGGAGCATGGTGAGTTCAACGGGGGAGACACAGGAACCATGCATGATCCCCGGAAGAGCCGGTCGCATTAACCCGGTTTACCTTAATCCGGCGGTTTCCATGGGCACACTTCGGCACGAAGTCTTGAAGGCTCCCCGTTAAGGAAATACATACAGAGACGGGGGGGAGAGAAGACTCGGGAAAAAAATTACCAAAACTAGCTCGTTAATGTGTAATTAAGTACAAAAAAGCGCCCCGTTAAAGTACACTTCTCTCGTTGAACTCAGTCTCTCTGATGCCCTCGTCCGTCTACATCATTCTACCTCGTGCTATCATCTGCTATGTTTTCACTGTGTTCCTTTTGCATACCCCTGCTAAAAATTTGGCAAGCAGCGTCGACGAACCATGACCAATCAATGTTTTCTAACAAGACAATTCACATCAATTCATTGTATACGTCCGCATACCTCTAGTTGTAGGTTTTGTCTAAAAATATTCCAAGGGACCATTGACCATGAGCCCACAGGGCCCCTGGAATATAATATATAAATAATCCAACATGAACTTGCACTAAACACCTCCGGGAGCACGCCAAATTTGCCGTCAAATTTTGCTATGTGGGTGGGTTGTGAAGATGACTTCGTTTCTTGTTGTGGACGTTGGTCTGAGCTGAGGGGTTGAGAAAAACTATTTTTGCACACTACGATGTAGATTTGCTCGTGTTTCGGTCACCTGTGCCCAACCGGGGCTGCCCACGTGGGCATACAGGTCTCACTCACTTTGTGGGATTGCTCATTGCACAGGTGCTAGCGATCCTCATTTCATAGAGACACATGTATGGAGGATCCCGGGCTTTGGCTTGCGCGAGGAGGCCGGGGAAGCTCGCGGCTTAGGAGCTAAAATGCGCCCCCGGACTTCCATGGCCAGGACGACGCATTTGTCACCTGCCCCACATCACATGTTGTGTGCCGCACAACACATGTTATGTTCCTTGCAATGCGCCCCGCGATGTCACCTGTGTGGGTTCCACAACACACGCACAGCATGACAACATAACAAAATATCGTGTGAAAACCACACACACATATACGTATTCCGCCGCAAACTGGAGGTTCATCAGGCAAGCCACCCGTCACAGTTGCGCAGGGCTTGTAACTTAAACACAACCGTTTTCTTTTC